TGTCTACACTCTGTCATCAGTAAGTCTTGGAAACTTGAAGTGAAATCATGTAAATCCAGGTCCTTGAATTATAGTGTTTCCTTCAAAGTCAGTAAGATTTCTTTTTTCTCGTCAACATGATAACAAAAGCAATGTTTAATGAAGCATGTTGTTTTGAGCACCTATTATATTTTGTATTTGACTATATCCCTTACCAATGAATTTATACGTTCCTAGGATTTCATATCTATTAGCATATATCTTGAAGAGAACTCCCCCTTTTTTAAAAAAACTTTTTAATTGAATCACTGTGAGATAGATACTCACAAAGCTGTTCATGATTGGATTTCAGTCATACAATATTCCAACACCCATCCCTCCACCAGTGTACATTTCCCAGCACAAGTGTCCTCAGTTTTCCTCCCATCATCCCACCCCCCAACCCCCTGCCTGTTTCTATGGCAGGCTCTCTCTCTCTCTCTCTCTCTCTCTCTCTCTCTCTCTCTCTCTCACTTTCTCTCTGTATCTCTCTCTGTCTTCTGTCCCTCTCTTTTTGGGCATTGTGGTTTGCAGTATTGAAACTGAAAGGTTATCAAGAATATCCTTTTTTTTTCTTTTTGGGTCACATCTGGCAATGCTCAGGGATTACTCCTGGCTCTACACTCAGGAATTGCTCCTGGTAGTGCTTGGGGGACCATATGAGATGCCGGGTATCAAACCCAGTTTGACCGCATGCTGTACTACCACTCTCAATGCCCCTCAAGACATTCCTTACCTAATTTTAACCCTCAGATATTGTCCAGCCTGATTATTCCCAGCTATTATTGTCATATTGATCTCTTCTCTATCTTATCTACCTTCAGCCCCACATATACTTGTGGTTATTTCCAACCATTGACCAGTCCTCCTAGCCTCTGTTTTCACTGGCCATGGGTATTAGTCTTCTAGTATATATATTTTTACATACCACAAATGAATGTAGTCATTCTGTGTCTGTCTCTCTCCTTCTAAGTCATTTCACTCAGCATGATACTCTCCATGTCCATCTGTTTAAAGGCAAATTTCATGACTTCATCTTTCCTGACAGCTGCATAGATGTGCCAGTTTCTTTATCCATTTGTCTGAAGAACTCCCTTTAGTCTTTCATATCAGGCAGTAATATTGTGATACAAACCCTCATTATTTGTTTGGCTATGATACAAACCCTCATCTTTTGTTTAGCTCACAGTCTTTTTTTTTTCCCCCATTGCTGTTGCTTCAAGTGAAACACCTGTGGGTAGCACATTTGATTGTCATGCACTTAAGGGCACAGAGTTCTTGGGCCATAGTAGAGATCCGGCTATATCGCTCTTCAGATTTGGAACAATTTCAGCCAATATTTCTTAGGTCTTTTTTTTCTCTTTTTTTGTGTGTGTAGGGGAATTGGTGTCAGTAGTTAAATTCAAATTCAAGGCTGTACCCATGCAAAGCAAGTGCTCCACCACTGAGTTACATCCCTGGCCCAGCAATTATTTCTTTGAATAACTTGTTTTGTCTTTGAATAACTTGTACAACCTTGTTTCCTTTTCATTCTTTTCTTTCTTTTGTCTGGAAAATTTCAAAAGAATTGTCCTTGAATTTATAGGTTTGTTTTTCTAGTTAAAATATGATGTTAACTCTCTCTATTGCAGCTTTGATTTCATTAATTACATTCATTCCTCAGTTTCAGAATTTCTCTTTGGAGTTTGTTGTTACTGTTTTGAGAGGGGGAGCTTCCTCAGCTGTGCTGGAGGCCACCCCAACTAAAACTGTTCCTGGGAGTGCTCTGGAGGCCCTGCCTTACAAGCATCAAGGCTCTGTGTATACCAGACATACACTCCAGTGCTTTGAGCAATTTCCTCAGCCTTATTTTTATTTTTTGTCTTGGACCTTCCAAGTGGTATACAGGAGATGTAGGAACCTGATGATTTCTGGCCAATTGGGTTTAATGTGGAGGCCGAAGGATGTTGTCTTGCTTGGGCGCTGTAATGGGAATTCTTGGGCCATGCCAGTGATGCTTGGGAGCCTCCACAATTGGATCCAGCCTGCTAGGTGTTGTCTTTCAGTTCATAAGGATTGTTTTTCACCTTAGTTCTTTTGGGGAGTTGTACACCAAGAATTGCTCATGGCACTACTTTTTTTTTTTTTTGCCTTTTGGGTCACATATGGTGATGCTCAGGGGTTAATCCTGGCTCTGCACTCAGGAATTACTCCTGGCGATGCTTGGGGGATCATACGGGATGCTGGGGATCGAACCCAGGTCAGCTGCGGGCAAGGCAAAAGCCCTACCAGCTGTGCTATCGCTCCCGCCCCATGACACTACTTTTGACTCGATACTTAAGAGGTCACTCATATTGGTCCTTGGGAACCATGTGATGCTGGGGATCAAACATTGACCTCCTGCATGCAAAGTATATGCTTAGTCCATTGTGCCATCTCTCCAATCATTAAGGTATGTTTTAGGCAGTGTGAGTTCAAAGTGTGAGTGCACAACAACTGCATTTGGTGGTAGAGAGCTGCCTATCTGGCCTCCCCAGCAGAGGAATAAAAATATGGGGAGCCACAAACTGATGGTCAAAATGGCCCATTTAGGGCAGAGCTGTTAGCATACTTATAGCACATCTGAGGGGGTTCGAGGTATAGGACTGCACATAGGTGTGATTGATCATTCCAGAGGTAAAGTCTTTAAATGGAGGCAATTCTCTTGGGGGGATTAACTCAAGGAGACATTCTGTCTCCCAGGAATATCTATATGTCCTCTTTCCCTTTAATTGAACATATTAAGCAGTCAACTTTAGCACTGTAGCACTGTCCTCCCGTTGTTCATCGATTTGCTCGAGTGGGCCCAGTAACGTCTCCATCATGAGACTTATTGTTACTGTGTTTGGCATATCAAATACGTCACGGATAACTTGCCAGGCTTTGCCGTGCGGGCAAGATACTCCCGGTAGCTTGCCCGGCTCTCCAAGAGGGGTGGAGGAATTGAACTCTCATCGGCCATGTTGGCCGCGTGCAAGGCAAACGCCCTACCGCTGTGCTATCGCTCCAGCTCTTATTAACACTTGCAGCTATTTGGATAAACACAGTAAGAAATATAGTTTCCAAAACTTAGTTCTCTGAGATCCGAGGGCAAGCAAGGCCATAAATCCCAGACTAAGTCCTCAGGCCAGTTTAGGTTGTCCTTCCCCATGGGGGTCCTATCTCTTAAGACATAATAGTCCATAAAAGACCATGCTTTTATGCTTTCTAGATTGTCCCATTTTAGTGCTGGGGTAGCTTCGCCACTTGCCCCAAGTCCATCACGGTCCCATGGTGGGACCTCCCTTTCTGGAGTGTTAGGAACTATGGCAATGAAACCTGAGTCAAGTAATTATGATGGATGCCCAAGAGTAGATATTTTTCAGTCAATCAACTCCCAAATATTAGGAGCACACCATTAACAGTGTAATGTATTTAAGCAAAGAACACTACTCTATAGTAAAATATGAAGTGCTATAGGGGAAATAGAAAAGCAAGTAATTCACTTCAAAAACAAAGTCCAGAGTCACCAGAGGTTTTGACTTAGTAACTAATACAAAGGAAAGGATAAAGATAAATTTGGGAGATTAGGGGTGCTTGCAAGAGCACTGTTAAGTTTCTTCTGGGAGAAGGAAAAGGGCAATTCACTGATGAAGCCTAAAATACTTAGGATAACATGGATAACATTGGTTTGCCTTTTCTGCATTGCGCAGGGACTTTAGGTTTATTGAGTTACTTTCATCACAGTGCGCCCATTCCTCTGTGTTTATTTGTAACTTTCTTCGTGCTCTGTTGACTTGTAAATATTGTTTTTCTCTTCTCCTTAAGTCCTTTGCATAGTTAGTTCAGAGCAATGTCCTTTTTGTATGGATACAAGAAGACAGTAAATACTGTGCTTATATAATGTGGGAGTTTATTGACTCTCAGTGATATTTTCCTTCTGGGCATCTGTTCTCTGGACCTAAGCCTCAGCTGCCATTAATTCCTAGCACCCCTAAAAGGCAGGGTCCGGAGGAGGGACTGGATGGACCCAGGGCAAGCTATGAGCTATGTGCTACCCTGGCATTGAGATGGGCCATTAACTTATAATGCTTAACTATAAGTTAAGAGCTTGGTCATGGACAAATGCGGTCACGATCCAAAAATAACTAGATTCGGACCCTGTTAGGGTTAGGAATGATTAATCTGGCCTGAGCTCTGTAGTCTGAGTCTGTGGCAAGATGTTCCCAGGAGAGCTGTCCTGCAAGCTTCAGTATATCTCTTACTGTGTTCATACAGAAATAACTGGTATTAACTTGTTGACTGAGGCAAAGAGAAAAACACCTTAAGAGGTATTTTGCCCCTGGGCAGTCAGGAAGGGCTTTGGAATACCCCTAGGTGGTGTTTCTGCCCTTGAGCCTGGCAGTCAGGAAGGGTTTTCTTATGTTATTTTGCTACCTGACTGGGTGTAGCTCGGCTGGGAGTGCTGGGGTTGAAGAGAGATAAGAGAGAAAGAAGAATTGAAGAGATGAGAGGGAGCAGGGCTGTGAGATGGAGTGCAGAGAGACTAGCAAGCAGGACAGAGAGAGAAGAATGGAGAAGAATGCAGGAGCAGGCATGTGGAGAGAGAAAGAGAGCAGGGCTGTGAGATGGAATGCAGAGAGATGAACAGGAGAGACAGGAGGAGACGGGAATGAGGAGCAGTGTGAGACGAGGATGGCGGGTTCAGAGAGACCGGAATAGGCACGTGGGGAGAGTGGAATAAATGGCAACTTATCAATCAACTGCCTTGGCCCTCATTTCCTCCTCTGTCTGGCCCATGGCATGGGCCGCCCCGGCTGGGGGAGCAGGCTGAACCCCCCCTCCAACCCAGGTGGCCAGGAGGAGAGAGCCCCCCGCCACCCCTGGAAATTATACAGGTTAATATCCAACAGAAAACAATAAAATAAGTTGAAGAAATATCAGAGTGGAATAGTTATGATTAGTTTCTTAAAATTTTCTCCTAGGTATTCTACATGTCATCATTTTTCTACACCGCCAATTATATCTGGTACCTGTGCAAAGAAATGAGGATGAAACATAAACAGAGCAGACAAAGCAGAACTCCACCAGTAAGTTTTATTCAGAGCTGATAGTTAATCATATGTCAATAGCTAACATTTTAATCAATGATAAAAAACTAAAAGCTTTTCAACTAAGATCAGATACCTACTTTTATCACTCTCCTTTAACGATAATACTGGAAATCCTAACCTGAACAATTATGTAAGAAAAAGAAATAAAAGGTATTCAAACAGGAAAGGAAGAGGTAACTATTGTGACCGGCATAATATTATACACAGACTCACCAAAACTCGACTTACCAGAAACAATTAGAAATAATAAGCAGCCATAGTAAAGATTCAGGCTATAAAATAAATATGTGAAAATATCTTGTGATTCCATACACAATAAAGTAGCAGAGAGAAACTAAGAAAACTATTCCAGGCCAGAGATATGGATCAAGTGGTAGAGGACATGCCTAACATGTGTGAGGTCCTCAGTTTGATCCCTGGAAGTACACAACCCTCTGCTCACCACTGGATTTTGCCTTGGTGTCTCCTGACCACCAATAGAGATTGCTCCAGCCCCCTAACGCTTTCCAGGAGGGATTCTTATTTTTTTAAAAAAGAGAGAAAATGATATATATATAAATGATATCATTTATAATTTCTAAAAAAGAACAGTGCTTAATGACCTTAAATGACCAATTGATAAGACTTAATAGACATTAACAGAGAATTCCACCCTAAACTGTCCTTAAGTATGTTATTTTTCAAGTGTTTAAGGAATATTCTGAAGGGTTGAACATACTTTGGGAGCTGGAGTGACGGAACCGTTGGTTGGGCACTTGCCTTGTATGCGGCTGACTTGGGTTAGATACTCAACACCACATATGGTCCCTGATCCCACTGGGAGGGATCCCTGAGTACAGAGTCAGGAGTAAGCCCTCAACACCACTGGGCATGATAAACAATCAACCTTATTTTGGAACATGTTTGTTCTCAGTAAATTCATGAATATAGTGTGTGTGTGTGTGTGTGTGTGTGTGTGTGTGTATACACTCACATATGTTTTGGGGCCACACCCAGCAATGCTCATGGGTTACTTCTGACTCTGCACTCAAGAATTACTCCTGGAAGTGCTCAGGAAACTATATGGAGTGCCGGAATTGAATCTAGGCTGGTTGCAAGCACCTTAGCACTGTACTATTGTTCTGGCCCCACTATAAAGTTTATATTCTTAGAAAGCATATTTTTAGATAGTATGGTCATAGTCCTCCCGTTGTTCATCGATTTGCTCGAGTGGGCCCAGTAACGTCTCCATCATGAGACTTGTTACTGTGTTTGGCATATCGAATACATCACGGGTAGCTTGCCAGGCTCTGCCGTGTGGGCGAGATACTCTTGGTAGCTTGCCGGGCTCTCCGGGAGGGGCGGAGGAATTGAACTCGGGTTGGCCATGTTCGCCACTTGTAAGGCAAACGCCCTACCGCTGTGCTATCGCTCCAGCAATGGTCTAAGGCCATACCACCCTGAACGCGCCCGATCTCGCTTTACATAGTAATGGTATGAAATTATAAGCCCACTAATCAAAAGGAAGAGAAAGCACAACTTTGTGAATAAACAATATTCTAATTAAAAATGGAGTAATGATAAGATAAAAGGTAAATTTTAAAGTATCTGGTTGGATTGGGGAAATAGTCCAAAGGACTAGGGCACATTCCTTGCATGTGTGGGACCCTGAGTTTGATCCCAGGGACCACATGGCTGAGTGTCACTGGATATAACCCTGGTTACCCCCAGTACTGCCAGGCCTGAGCCCACAGCACTGCCAGACACAAGCACAAGCCAGTCAGGATTGCAGTTGGGCTGAATTTTGCCAGGAGTACCTCTACTCTGGCAGCCTCTTGAGCCAACTGCTAGGGAGGGCCCCCAAAATACCTGGAGACAACGGAAAAAAAATCAAGGGACCACTTACCAGAAAAAGTGAAATATAGTAAAAGCTGTACTAAGAGGGAAGTTTAGAGCAACACAAGCTGACCTCATTATACAAGTAAAACCAGCATAGAAAAAACTATGCTTGGGCCACAGATAGACTGAGTGCATACTTTGCACACAGAAGACCCAGATTCGATTCCCAGGACTATACTGTTCCCTGAGCACTGCAAGGAGTAACTCCTGAACACTGCTGGGTGTAGCTCCAAAACAACACACACACACACACACACACACACACACACACACACACACACAGAGCTCAGCTTAGGAAAAATTGAGACTCAGTTAGAAAAGGAAGTAGTAAAAATTACAGCAGAAATAAATGACATAGAGCATATTGGGCCTAGAGAGAAAGTACAGCGAGTGGGGTGCTTGCCTTGCATATGGCCTACCAGAGTTTGATCCCCACCATCCCATATGGTTCCCCAGGTACTTCCAGAAGTAATTCCTGATTGCAGAGCCAGGAGTAACCCCTGAACATCACTGGGAATGGCCCAAAAATAAAAAAAGAACTTATTTTGAGTTGCTGAGATAGTATAGTGGGTAGAGCACTTGTCTTGTATAAGGGCAAGCCAGGTTCGATCCCCAGTACCACATATAGTGCCCCAAGAACTGCCAAGAGTGATTCCTGAGCATAGAGTCCGGAATAAGCCCTGAGCATCACCAGATGTAACCCCGAAACCAAAAAAATTTAAAAGAGCATAGTTCATAACATTCATTATTTCTAATGCACACCCTATTTTAAATAATACAAGTATACTTTTCTGTTTGTTTTTGTACCACATCCACCTGTGCTTTGGAGTTACTCATGGCTCTGTGCTTAGCAGGCACTCTTGACAGGCTTGGGGGGGCCATATGGGAGGCTCAGAGGATCAAACCTGGGTCAGCCATATGCAAGGCAAGCACCCTACCCACCGTACTATTGATTCATCCCATACAAGCACAATTTTTTTTCTTTTTGGGTCACACCTGGCGATGCACAGGGGCTACTCCTGGCTTTGCACTCAGGAGTTGCTCCTGGCGGTGCTCAGGGGGCCATATGGGATGGTGGGAATCGAACCTGGGTCGGCTGCGTGCAAGGCAAACGCCCTACCCGCTGTGCTATCTCTCCAGCCCAAAGCACAATTTTTTTTAAAGCTTCACATAGAGAATCAAGGAGATAGTACAGCAGGTAGGGAACTTGCCTTGCACATGGCAACCCAGGTTCAATCCCTGGCATCCCATATGGTCACTGGAGCAGAGCCAGGAGTAACCCCGAGCATGGCCGGGTATGGCCCAAAAACCAAAAAATAAATAAGAGTTTCACATAGGATCAGAGAGATATCACAAGGTTTTAGGTGCTTTCCTTGGATGTAGACCACCCAGGATTGATCTCTGGGACCATCGATGGCCTCCTGAACATTCTTTCCAGTTAGTTTCTCCAGTTCTAAATGGACCACTGGTAGTACTCACAGAGCCATATGGTGCATTGGGGATTAAACTCAGGACTTCACGCAACACACTTCCTAGGCCTATACTCTAATGCTTGAGTTCTCTCTGGCCCATTTACTTTTTTTCTTTTTATGTCCACAGTAGCCAGACCTGCTCAGGGACTAATCCTGGCCCTGTACTCAGGAATAACTCTGACAGTGCTTGGGAGACCACACGTGTTGCTGGGGAGTTGTACCAAAATCGGAAAGATGCAGAGCAAGCCCTGTGATATCCCTCCAGCCCTTGTCTTTTTAAAGAAAATTTATGCTGGTATCCAAACATTTTATTAAGATATTTGGGGTGGGGGGCAGAGAAGCAATGTGTCAGGCTTCCACTTCACATGGTCTCCCAAGCCCTGCTGGGAGTGATGCCTGTGCAGAGCCAGGAGTAAGTCCTGAGCACTGCTGGATGTGGAAACAAACAAAACGTATTTTGGTTGACTTTCTTTGTGGTTCTTTCACATTTAAAAATTGATAGTTATACAGATAAAATTCTCTAGCCCCGAAGCCAAGGAAATATCTGTTTTGTTGAAGTGAGGATGAATAATAAGCTTTTTCTTTTGCGGGGGATCACGTCCAGTGGTGCTCAGGGATTTCTTCTGGCTCTTCGTCTGCCAAATATTTCTCTCTTTCTTTTTTTTTTTTTTTGCTTTTTGGGTCACACCCAGCAATGCTCGGGGGTTACTCCTGGATCATGCACTCAGGAATTACTCCTGGAGGTTCTCAGGGGACCATATGGAATGCCAGGGATATAACCCAGATCAGTCGCATGCAAGGCAAACACCCTACCCACTGTACCATCACTCCAGCCCCATTGTCTGCCAGATATTTCTTGACAGAGCAAACTAGGTATTGGAAATTTTACCCTATCAGGTAGTCAATAATATACTGGTGTTTATTATAGTATGGTTGTTAGTATGCTAGAACATTAATCACATATATTCTTTCCATAGGTTATAGATGATACTTATAAAATTGGTCAAATAGCCTTAATTTTTTCCAGGTAAGATTTTTGCTTTCTTTCTGGCAAAATGTTCACTTATTACTCTGGGGTTGGCTGCGGTGGGCACAAAGAGGAGGAAAGTGTTATTTAATATTCATTGAATCTGTCATACCTAGATGTTCAAAAGGCCTTACTGAGTAGGAAGCAGTGAATATTAGTTTATTGGTTATAAATTAAGCAGTGTGAAGATACAGATTTTGATTTTAGTCCTAAGTTTTAGTTTTAGTTCTAAGTCATATAAGGTTCTAAGTCATAATCAAACAGATATTAAGTTCTAAGTCAGTTAACTTTTTTTTTTGGCTTTTTGGGTCACATCTGGCGATGTTCAGGGGTTACTTCTGGCTGGACACGTTTAGGAATCATTCCTGGCGGTGCTTATGGGACCATATGGGATGTGCCAGGGATTGGATCTGGGTCAGCAGCATGCAAGGCAAATGCCTTACCCACTGTGCCATTGCTCCAGCCCCTCTAATTCATTTTCAAGTATCACAAAAAGTTGTAACTGTTCTGGGAGCTAACACAAAGGACTGGGTGCATGCTTTGCATGTAGAAGCCCGAGGTTCAATCCCTGTACCCCATAATTCCCCAAGCACTATTGGAAATAACCCCTGGACATTGCAATGGGGGAGTGAGGAGTAGCACCCCCACCCCCATCACCACCACCAGATGTGGCTGCTTTTCCTTAGAAAAAGAGTTACAATGGAAAGCTTTCAAGATTTCATCCACCTTTATAATATGGGTGAGAGTCTTACAGTGGTTGGCTTGAAAGGGTCTGGATCTCACCTCAGTAGAGGGAAGATTTTATTTGGGACTTTGGGACTTAGTCTGTACTCTTTCCTTTTACAAAATGCTGCCTCTATGTAGCTGGGTAATTGGGTATCAGACTATTTAAAGGAAGAGCTTTGGGGACGAAGATGATCACTCTGTAAAGTAAAACATTGAGGGGCTGGAGAGATAGAACAGTGGCTAGGGGTTTGCCTTGCATGCGGCCAACCTGGGTTCGATTCCCAGCATTCTCTATGGTCCCCTGAGCACTGCCAGGAGTAATTCCTGAGTGTAGAGCCAGGAGTAACCCCTGTGCATCTCCAGGTGAGACCCAAAAAAAGCAAAATAAATAAATAAAGTAAAATACACTGAGCACAGAGCTTTTCCCCCCCCATTTCCCCTTCCTTTCCCTCTGCTCTTAGGCTAAGGTGGCTGCACCAGTGGTTGCTGTGGAACTCACGTATTTAGTTGTGGTGCTTGCCAGAACACACTCCTTTAGTTAGTGTTTGTCCATAAGCTTTCTCAGGGTCATCTCATATGAATTGGGCGCCCATGTTCATTCTTGTTTTAGCACTTGCTAGGTTCACACGCATGATTACCAGAGGCCATACAGGCCATACTGCTCAAATTTATCTTTTAAGTTTTGGTTCTCACAACAGACCATACCCTTTATTTTCAGTGCCTGCATACATATGACTGTGTTTAATCTAGGAATCACTGGCCGTGCTGGAACTTGTGGAGAGCAGAGTGCTAGGTTCAAATAGTAGAAGCCTCAGGACTGGGCTTGGTACCTGTAGCAGCACCAGAACAAAGTCGATTTCATAGCCTCAGGCTTACAAGACAAGCTGCTAGCTTTTTTTTTTTTTAATGTAGGAGTACTGCTATTTATTCAGCCACTGATTAGCTGATTGAATTGGCATGAACTCCAACCTTGGTGGGTCTGGTGTCAAAATATTGAATGTGATCAAAGTAGATAAAGAGTAATGTAGAAATCATCTTTTTTTTAAGTGAAGCAAGTTATTGTTTATTATTGAAACTTCCTTAGAAAGATGTGAGAGAAAAGAAAGAAGAAGTACATGTTTGAGAGAAAGCGGGACTTCTCCAGAGTGGATATGGCAAAGAAACACAGAGACAAGCAAATGAGATACTTGTTCCAGGGAGAGCACATTTTGAAGAGCAAGCTGTCTCTAGCTTTTTAAACTGTGGATTGGGATCCCATATGGAGTCATATAACTGAATGTAAGGGAGTCACAAAAAATTTGGCAGCAGTAAAATTTCTGAATATGCGGTGATTCAAAATTAATTCAGGGACCAGAAAGATAATACAGTGGGTAAGGCACTTTCCTTGATCTCCAAGTTTAATCCTCAGCACCCTGAGCACTGCCAGGAGTGATACCTGAGCACAGAGCCAGGAGTAAGTCCTAAGCACAGCCAGGTGTGACCCCCAAATAGTCACTGAACATCCTTTGGTCTCCTGACTTAGATTTTTAATTTGACTACACAACTCCCAGGGTCTATGAAACTATTTGGTATATTAACCTAGGGATAAAATGCAGTCCTTACTCAACTTCCTTAGGAACCGGAAAAGACTTTTAAGGAATTTTTTTCTTGAGTAAATTAAATGTGTATATATTTGTGGAGAATGGGAAGGGGGGTTATAGAATTAGGAGAACAGGAAAGTAGTCTATGAAGGGAAAAGGCATGAAAATGACTAAACCAGATTTTTCCTTCCCATCATCATAAGTTTTTTTCTCCTAGCCTGATACCTCTACTGTTGATGACACCTGTATTCTGTCTGGGCAATGTGAGTGAATGTTTCTACAACTTCAGTCAGAACTACAGGTGACTAAAAACCAAATACATTGTTCTCACGGTAGACTATATTATTTTATTTTTAAAAAATTGAAGTATTTATCCCACACGGCAAAGCCTGGCAAGCTACCTCTGATGTATTCGATATGACAAACACAGTAACAACAAGTCTCACAATGTAGATGTTACTGAGCCTGCTCGAGCGAATAGATGAACAACAGGAGGACAGTGCTACAGTGCTACTACAGTGTGTGTACTTTGTAGAGTCCAAGACAAAGTCTATTTAAAACCCTGGAACATCTTCAGCCACAAAGGCAGCTTCAAGCAAGGACAAAGTATTTATACACATTTTTCTCACCAACTTGTTTGTGTTAAAAATGATATCTAGGATGTGAGGGTGATCTGCTGAAAGTAGACTATAAACCAAACATGATTGCCACTCAATGCCTCTTTTGCAAACCAAACACCCAAAATGAGAGAGAGAACAAAAGGGAATACCCTGCCACAGAGGTAGGGTGAGATGGGGGGATGGGGGGTGGGAGGGATACTGGGACCCGTGGTGGTGGAAAATGGGCACTGGTGGAGGGATGGGTGTTTGATCATTGTACAGTTGAAACCCAAGCACAAAAATTTGTAAATCTACAGCTGTACCTCATGGTGTTTCACTAACAAAAATTTTTAAAAAATGTAAATGATGGAGAATGGGCACTGGTGGAGGGATGGTACTGGATCATTGTATAACTGAAACCCAAGCACAAAAATTTGTAAGTCTACAACTGTACCTCATGGTATTTCACTAATAAAATAAAAAAAATGATATCTAGGGGCTGGAGTGATAGTACAGTAGATAGGCGTTTTTGTCTTGTACATGGCCAACCCAGGTTTAGTCCCCAGCATCCCATATGGTCCCCAAAGCCCTGCCAGGAGTGATTCCTGAGTGCAGAGCCAGGAGTTACCTCCTGAGCAGTGCCAGGTGTGTCCATAAAAAAAAAAGAAAGAAAAAGAAAAAAATGGAACAAGAGTAGTCAAGGTTAGCACACATACGCGCGCGCGCGCACACACACACACACACACACACACGCACACACTTAGAAATATGTCACAAAGTAGAAAATACTGTATCTGTGAGAGAGAAGGAACAAAGTGCTATGGGCAAAGGTAGAAAAATAACAATTAAAAATTACGTACTCGTGAACTTATATTGCACTGTTATCGTCTGTCTGTAGCAGTGATCCTGTCCTATTCTCGTCCCAGGTGTATCCTGGTGCACTCGCCACCACCATTAGCCATGAGTGAACTACTGCTGTCGGCCAACTCATCAGTCTGTAGCATACTGCATTTTTATAGAGTGTCCATTTTCATGGCCAGTTTTCTACTAAGCCTCATTTTAATTGTGGTATGTTATCTCTACCTGCCTTTTGGAGAGAGAGAAGACTGGGAGGGATGGAGCATTAGTCTCAGGGTCTGGGAAAGATGGGTTGGCTAAGAGATCTTGACCGTGTAATCACTACCTTGACATTTTGGACTTCCCAAATGAGTTGGGGAAAGCCTATGTCCTATTTTTTTGCCTTTTGGATCATACCTGGTGATGCACAGGGGCCATTCCTGGCTCTGCACTCAGGAATCACTCCTGGTGGTGCTCAGGGGGCCATATGGGATGCTGGGAATCGAACCCGGGTTGGCCGCATGCAAGGCAAACGCCCTACCCTCTCTGCTATCGCTCCAGTCCCCTATGTCCATTTTTTGAGGATGATACTCACCCTGGAATTAATAAACATTACTGTAGCTCTTCATGGAGGAGCAGACCAGGAAACTGGTGTTATCTATCTATCTATCTATCTATCTATCTATCTATATTCTTTTTGGGTCACACCTGGCAATGCACAGGGGTTAACTCCTGGCTCTGCACTCAGGAATTACTCCTGGAGGTGCTCAGGGGACCATATGGGGTGCTGGAATCGAATCGAACCCGGGTCGGCCATGTGCAAGGCAAACGCCCTACCTGCTGTGCTATCACTCCAGCCCCTGTATATTTTTTATAAAGGGTGACATTTCAGAACACAAGACATGTGCTTTAGTTTAAATTTTTGAAAATGAACTTTGCAGTTTATACTAATGCCTAATTGGGGCTAAGGTGATGAGTGGTCAGAGATTTACTTATTTAATTAATTTTAATTTTTTTTTAATTTCATTTTAAAATTTTGGTTCACCCAGGCACTGCTCAGGATGCTCAGGGCCCCTCCTGGAAATTCTCGATGCAGTTTATCACACAAATATGAACTAGTGATTCAGTGCAAGGGCCTGAGGATGCAGTTTTGCCGAGACCCTGTGGTGCTGGGGATTATCTGCGCCACCCTAGTGTGGCTCAGAAGCTTCCAGGGATACACCTTGTGGTGCTAATGGACCTTCAGGGGGAGATGTGTGCTGGGGATCAACTTAGCATTGGCCATACACAACATATGTACTTTAACCCCTGCACTATTTCTTCACCCCTTGAGACTTATTAAATATTTATTGACATCATCAAGATGATGTGCAATTGAAAGAACCACCTTTGGACCATATGGGTTTTTTATTTTTTATTTTTTGTTTTGGCCACAACTAGTGGTGCTCAAGAGTTACTCTTAGCTCTGAATTCAGGAATCATTTTTGGTGGACTTAGGGACCACCAAATATAGGATGCCCACAATCAAACCCGGGTTGGCTACATGCAATCTACTATGCTATCTACCCACTGTACTATCTCTCCAGTTCCAAGGGACAATCTGTTATCTATGTTGGAAAACCTAGTATGAAATCAGCAAGCAAATAGGCATTTTTCTTTTTCTTTTTTTTTTCCATATCTACTTTTGTCTTGTTTTGGTTTGGGGCCACACCTGGTGATATTCAGGAGTTACTCCTGGCTCTGTACTCAGGAATTATTCCTGACAGAGCTTGTGGGAGTCGGAATAGAACCCTGGTCAGCCATGTGCAGGGCAAGTGTCCTACCTGCTGTACTATTGTTCCGGCCCTTCCATATATGCTTTTTATCACATGCAGGTTCAGGGATTGCAGGCTGTGTACTGCTAGATGCAGTTTATAACATACATATGTTTGATTTTCCTAACGTATGTAAACCAAATATAATTGTGGAGAATTTCCTTTGATAAAAAATTATGGAAATAGCTTAGTTCAATAGCTTTGTAAGGAGAGAACACTGATTAATTTATATTAAAATAGATTTAATGATTTCTATTTATAACTGACAAAAGAGACAAGTCTGCCAAAACCTGGGATCATGGGAATTCTTTTTTGCTTCTTCAGAATAACTCAGGTGGGGTCTGGAGAGATGATACAGCAGAAAAGGTGCTTGCCTACACCCAGGCATCAACAGGAACTCCCCCTTCCTCTAACCTTACTCCCCCTCCCCCTCAAGTCGTCCACTCTTTTTTTTTTTTGCCTTTTGGGTCACACCCAGCGATGTACAGGGGTTCCTCCTGGCTCATGCACTCAGGAATTACTCCTGGCAGTACTCGGGAGACCATGTGGGATGCTGGGAGTTGAACCCAGGTCGGCTATGTGCAAGGCAAACGCCCTACCTGCTGTGCTATCACTCCAGCCCCTCAAGTCGTCCACTCTTAACCAGAGTGTTTGCATCCCAAAACCCCCAATGCATGCTTTGCGGGGGGAGGCTTTTGGCTTTTGCGTCACACCTGGCTATGCTCAGGGATTATTCCTGACTTGGGGCTCAGGGAATCATATGTAGTGCTGGTGGTTCAACCTGGGTCAGAGCTTGCCAGGCGAGTGCCTTCCCCACTAACTCTCCAGTCCTCCAGTGTATGCTTGAAGCCATGAATAGTATCAAGTCCTATCGACACTATTTTTTTCCCTATTTACGTATACTTATGATGAAGTTTAAGTCATCACTAAGTATAGTATGAGTTTAAAACAAAAATAATAGTGAAACAAAATTTATATTAAATGTTGATAAGTCAAAGGACTGCGGAATCACTCCCAACATATCTTATTATAGACAGTATTTTTGGGCCAGGCTTGACTACTGATAACTGAAGCTTATAAAAAGTGAAACCACAGATAAAGGGGGAGATATATATATATATACATACATATATATATATATCAAGGGTATTAACTATGGGGTACCTCCAATATAATTTCTGATGAGACTTTCAAGAAGGATCGGGTTGGTTAGATCTTAATTTTAATTTCTTATGCATATTATGAGTAAGGAAAAGATCTCAGGATTGTTGACGTCAGACACAGAAAAGGTATATCCTTGGAACCTCATACTGAACTGTCAGACTGTACTACAGGACCGTACTACGAAGATCCCTTTGGGGGTCTTTAAGAGCCAGTAGGGAGGTAGATAAGTAAGTAAGCCAACCAACCAAGAGGAGAGAGGAGGCATAACCTGAGAGGTTTCACTCAGCCTAAAGCAGACCAGTCACCGCCCTCCCTACCCATTTAGGTCTTACTCGTCCAAGCCCAGACACTACGTCAGGAGTGGGTGAGATCAGCCGGCTTTCTGGGGAATGAACAGTCAGCAGTGATTCACATCGTGAAGCAGCGAGTGTGTCTCTATCCAGTGGCTTTCTTTTGCTGCTGGGTCCCAGGTAAGTACTTTAATGGACAGTGCTGAGGATAAGTATTGGGTGCTTATCAAGCAAAGTGGTTTTCAGGAAGGATGGTTCCTGTCCAACTTTTAAATTTTACTTTGGTCCCACCCATATTTTCAATGTTTCCTAACCTCCTTAACTTTTTCTTCTTATGTTTTAAAAATTAAGAAGTTAATAGTTTGACATAATATGCAACCTTATACAAAAGGTTATAGGAAAAGTCCTGACAAAACTCAGAGATATTAACACCTGTCTTTCCTATTCCATTAAAAAAAATTGTGGTAAGAACCAGATTGGATAATGTTTATAAAAGAGCTTGGTGAACTCCTAAATGCTACATATAGTGTTTTTACTTTCCTATATTATATCTTGCCATCATTGTTGTATTAATACTTTGTAATATTTAATAAGAAATAGAGGTTGGATATGTGTGGTTTATATGATTGGTTAATCTCTCTTATTGTCTTCATTTTGATATAGTTTTCATTTTCATAGTGCTTAGTCTTATGTACTGAAGACTGTATGATTAGTTAGCCAGAGTTGAGGTCTATAATTTGCAGGGGAGAGGGTGGTGGCGGGGGGCTCTTGGGGGACCACACCCAGCAGTGCTCAAGGATTACACCTGGCTGAGCTCTCAGGAGTCATTTTCGGCAGTGCTCAGGGGACCATATAGTGTGCTGGGGATCAAACCCAGTCAGCCATGTGTGTGCAAGGCGAACACCCTAGCAGCTGTACTATGGCTCTGGCCCCTTGAGATTCATCATTTATATTTCATGGTATAATTTTTATTAAGCAATAAAATGTATACTTTGCATTTTTATAGCTGTCATCCTAATGATTATAGAGCTGACTGAGCCTCGGAACACCAAGCTTCACTTGGCCCTCTGTGTTCTCCAGGTAATGCCTCAGAATCTGTTCTCACTCCCCCTTACCTGTTCTCTTACATGCTGTTACTTAATAAGCACGTATCTTCCCTCAAGGTGTTGATCTTTATGTTGCAAAGGAAAAAGTGTATCTTTGAGGGTCTTCCAGAATGTATTGATTGATTGATTGATTGATTGATTGATTTTCAAGCCACACTCAGCTATGCTCAGGGCTTACTCCTGGCTCTGCAGTTAGGGATCACTCCCCCAGTGGGATTGGGGGACCATACAGAGTGCTAGAGATTGGACTGGGGTCAGCTGCATGCCAGGCCTGCATCTTTAACCCTGTACTATTGCTTTCCCCTCACAAGATGTATTCTTTCCATTGAGTTGTGAAGAGTTATGAAGAGTAGGGTGTTTCTCTTGCAGATGAGATAGATACTTTTGATAAAGGTTTTCTGTGCAGTATAGAGTACATATACCTTTGGTCAATTTCATCTTACTGATGTATATTTAAGGGATGGGTAACAGAAAACAAGATTTACCACCTGGGGAGGAACTTGATGTAGGACTAGGTTCCATAATAATCTTTTTTAAAATTTTTTATTTTTTGGGGGGGGGCCTATCCGGCAATGTTCAGGGGTTACTCCTGGCTCTGTACTCAGGAATTACTCCTGGCAGTGCTCAGGGGAACATATGGGATGCTGGAGATCGAACCCAGGTTGGGTGGATGCAAGGCAGTATATCCTACCCGCTATACTCCCATCCCTCCAAATAATAACTCTTATGAAACACTGATAGTGAGGTGATTTTGTCCTATCCAGTCAGGGTGAAATGAATAAGATAAATTAGTTCTTTTAATTTAAATGGGCTGGAGTGGTAGCACAGCGGTAGGGTGTTTGCCTTGCATGCGGCTGACTTGACTAACCCGGGTTCGATTCCTCCACCCCTCTCGGAGAGCCCAGCAAGCTACCGAGAGTATCTTGCCCACACAACAAAGTCTGGCAAGCTACCTGTGACATATTCTATATGCCAAACACAGTAACAACAAGTCTCACAATGGAGATGTTACTGGGCCAGCTCGGCAAATCGATGAACAACGGGAGGACAGTTTAAATGAAATGGGAGGGGGATGAAATAATTTTCTTCATTGTTAAATGACATCAAAAGATGGCTCTTCAGGTTATCTGATTACTCTGATAAAGCAGTTCTATCAAGCCTCACCTCAGAAATTGAGCAATGTGGTGGGGGGCATTGTAACTGTGTTGTTGTCCTTATATATATATGCTAAAAAATTTGACCAACTCCCAATCATCAGTGGATCTGGTACGTGTGAAGAGTGAGAAGAGGACAGGAAGAGAAAATATTCAAAAACTGATGCCAGAGGGAGTAGCTCAATAGTACAAGGGGTAGGACACCTGCCTTGCATACAGCTCACCCTGGTTTGAATCCTTGGCATCCTATATGGTCCCCTGAGCACCACCAGAAGAGATTCCTGAGTGCAGAGCCAGTGGTAACCCTTGAGCACCATTGGGTGTGATCAAAAAAGCAAAAACCAAAACAATAACAATAAATAAGACCTGGGGCTGGAGCAATAGCACAGCAGGTAGGGTGTTTGCCTTGCACGCAGCCAACCCAGGTTCAATTCCCAGCATCCCATATGGTCCCCTGAGCACCATGCAGAGCCAGGAGTAACCCCGGTGCATCACCAGGTGTGACCCAAAAAGCAAAAAAAAAAAAAAAAAAAAACCCAATAAATAAGATCTGCTTCTAGATCTTGATGTTTGGGATAGAGGAAATAAAAACTGGTTAGTTGCTAAGGTACCCTGGAACTAGTCCTTGAATTTCTGAATACCTAAAGAACGGGCTGTATTACCCCTTCATCTCCTCCAGGCTCTCTCAACATCATCCCAGGGCCTGCTCAACTGTGCAGTATTTGTCTGGACACAGTACAAGTTCTACCAACTAAAGCAAGAGACTCAGCGCGATGCAGACACCCAGACACCATTATTGTCCTCCCAGAAGAGATTCTATAACAGAGGACTAGAACCCTTGGAGTCTGCTCTTGCTTTTCCGACAGATACCTCCACTATTCTTTGAACCCACACTACTGGAATATCTAGGACCTAAAGTTACTCTTGGCTTATGGATTGGGAAGAATGTTGGGGAATAAGATTTTTTTGTTTTTGTTTTTTTGTTTTGGCCATTTGGACTGTACCTGTTGGTGCTCCAGACTCAGTCCTGGCTCTTTGCTCATTAATCACTTAGGGGCGTATAAGATGCCAGGGATCGAACCAGAATTAACTATATGCAAGGCCTATACCACTGTACTATCTACCCACTGTACTGACCTACCCACTGTACTATCTCTCCAGCTCCTTAAGTATTTTTTTTTTTTTTGGTTTTTGGGTTACACCCGGCGATGCTCAGGGGTTACTCCTGGCTCATGCACTCAGGAATTGCTCCTGGCGGTGCTCGGGGGACCATATGGGGTGCTGGGAATCGAACCTGTGTCGGTCATGTTGGCTGCGTGCAAGGCAAACGCCCTACCCGCTGTGCTATCGGTCCAGCCCCTTAAGTATATTTTTTTTTAAAACGCATGTTTTAAATTTTGGAAGTGAAAGTGAACATAGTGTCATGGTCAGTAGCTATTCATTGTAAATTGGATAGTATTGCTTTATTATTCTTCTTATTTATCGATTTTTTTTTCAAATTTCTGTTCAGGGAAATGCAGCCACTTTCCATTTAAGAAACAGACTCATGTTGGGGCTGGAGCAATAGTATACTGGATAGGGCACTTGCCTTACACAAAGCTGACCCAGGTTTGATCCCTGGCACTATAAATGGTTCCTCAAGCCTTGCCAGGTGTGATCCCTGAGCACAGAGCCAGTAGCAAACCCTGAGCACCATTGCCAGCTGCCCACCTGCTGCCCCCCCTTCAAAAACCCTCTTGTTGCCTCGAGGAATAGTAGGTTTATCTGAGTTTCTTATAGAAAAAAAGGCAGTACAGTGGGTAGGGTATTTGCCTTGCACATAATAGTTGTCAGGTTCAATCCCTGACATCCCCTATGGTCCTCCAAGCACTTCCAGGAATAATTCCTGAATGCAGAGCCATGAGTAACCCCTGAGCGTTGTTGGGTGTGACCCAAAAAGGAAAAAAAATCAAATTTGTTATTTATATGTGCCCTTTGTAGGCTCTCTATTCTGTTGCAGGGAGACAGTAGGGTATCAGGGAGCAACTTTCTCAGATTTTACCATTACTATTCCTCTGCTATTGAACAGAGAATATTCTGGGTTTCTATTCCTTAAAAAGTCTTGGAAACTCTGAAGAAGCAAATAAAACTGTCAAAAAAGTAACAGTCAAATACTACATCCGATACTACTTGGTCTCTTATATGTTAACTTCTAGTATAGGTTTAACAAAAAATTTTTATCAGGGGCTGGAGAGCACTTTTATTGGGCACTTGCATTGGACTTTTCCCTGATTGCAGAGTCTGGAATAAGGCCTAAGCACAGCTGGCTGTGTGACCAATAACAACAACACTTTTTTTTTTGGTCTCATGATCTTTTGTGTTTTGTGTTTTGTTTTGTTTTGTTTTGTTTTTTAGGCCATACCTGACAGTGCTCAGGGGTTACTCCTGACTCTGGGCTCAGAAATTACTTCAGCGCCATTTGGAATGCCATGTGAAATGCCTAGGTTGACCACATGCAAGGCAAACACCCTACCGCTGTGCTATTTCTCAGTCTCCTGTTCCATATTTTGAGAATAGGGACGTTTCAGTTTCTCTCCTAGATATACAAAATCAATTTTCAGAGTTTCAGAGAGTTAAGTTTAAGAGAAATTAGGATGAAAAGAAAATACAGAAGAAAACTCAAGCTTCCTTTATAAGCAGTAGCCCTAACTGTATTTCATAGTAGTTATAGAACTACATCGAACCATCCTTTACAAGCAGTAGCCCTGACTATATTTCATAGTAGTTATAGAACTACATCAAACCATATGAACTTTTTGTTGATGTTGTTTTGTTTGAGGGCTACACCCAGCAATGAAGTTGTACTTTTGGCCATGTTCCTGAGTAATGATGCTAGGGAACTCCACACATAGAGCTGGGAACTCTGCCAGAGTCAGTTACTTGCAAGGCAAGCACTTAATCTTTTTTTTTTTTTTTTGGCTTTTTGGGTCACACCCGGCGATGCTCAGGGGTTACTCCTGGCTCTGCACTCAGGAATTTTCCCTGGCAGTGCTCAGGGGACCATATGGGATGCTGGGAATCGAACCAGCAATGGAATTGCCTTGCATGCAAGGCAGATGCCCTACTCGCTGATAAGCACTTAAACTCTTATATCACCTCTCGGGCCCAAACTTTCCAATTTTTGTAAGTAAAAATTTGTTTGCATGTTTTGAGGCCACACCCTGCAATGCTCAAGAATTACTCCTGGTGGGGCTTAGGGAACCATATAGGATGCTAGGAATTGAAACCACTTGGGTATGTGCAAGGCAAACATCCTACCCACTGTACTATTGCTCTGGCCCCTGTAAATTAAATGTTCTAGTATAATAAGTTTTATTTACTGTAAAATACATGTTTATAGAGTAAATGAACAACTTGGTGAATAACTAATAGAGTTTTAAACAGTTGTAGAAGCTTAAAGGAAGGAATGTCTGTTTAATCTGTTTTTTCCTCTTTAATTGCATAAAAAGTGACATATAGGGGCCAGTAAGTAAAGGCCCTCCCATTGATCGTCGATTTGCTCGAGCGGGCCCAGTAACGTCTCCATTGGAGACTTTGTTGTTACTGTGTTTGGGAAAGTAAGTAAGTAAGTAAAGGCCCTCCCGTTGATCGTCGATCGTCCGCTGTTCCTCGCCGGAGTCCCTTGGAGGGGAGCGGGTTGAGCTTTCCTCCCCACCCCGACCAGGGCTCCGGCAGCCGAAGACCTCCAGGACCAGCCACCACCATGCTGAGACCACTCTCCGCTCACATGAAGGTACTGGCAGAGGGACAAAGCCACGCGGGTTCCGGGGCCGAGATCTCCGAGCCTACTCGAATTGGAGTCGAGCATCCTCCACCCAGATCCTCCAAATTCCAGTAGGCGGGGTCACACCCACCACCTGGCCCCCTGGCGCCGTGTAATCCCATCAACGGCCAAGACTCAGAGACTACAAAATGCAGCTCCCGGAACCGCGCGGCCGCATTCGCGGCCACGCGACATCTTATCAGAACATCTTTTAATGATATCTCATTATCTCATTCCTACTCTGGACAAACTTGCAGGCTATCGAATATAGCCTGCCCACAGGGCAGAGTCTGGCAAACTCCCCGTGGCGCACCAAATATGCCAAATACCAGTAACAATGATGGGTCTCATTCTCCTAAAGAGCCTTGAATATAATCTCAGGGCTAGGATGAAAGAGACATTACTGGGGCCTGCTCGAGCCAATCGATGAATAACAGGATGATGAAATGAAATGAAATGAAATAGGGGCCAGAGGGATAATATAGGTATATAGTTAGGGTGATCAACCCCAGTGTAATTCCTGGAATTGCGTATGATCCCACAAGTACCTCTAGGAGTGATCTCTGAACAGGAGTGATCCCTGAGCAAATACAAACCAAAGTGACATTTAGTTTTTCAATTATGAACAAGCTCAGATTCATTACCAGGGACTCAGATACTATGTCAGTATAAAAGGTAGAGCCACATGTACAGAGCTACTGGAATGATAATAAACTAAAACACCTGGAACTAATATACTTCTCCCCTAATAAATTTTAAGAAATTTTTGTTGTTGTTTTTTTGGGCCACACTTGGCTGTGCTTAGGGCTTACTCCTGGCTCTGTGTTCAAGGACCACTCTTGGTGGGCTTGGGGGTTTATATGGGGTGGCAGGGATCAAAACCCAGGGATGCCACTTGTAAGGCAAGGACCTTAACCTACTGTACTATAGCTCCAGACTTTTAAGGAAAAACTCCCAAAGTGGGCAGTACCACCCCCAAGAGTCACCGGAACAATTCGAGGGATTAGTATTATTCTGCAATCTGGGGAACATACTTTCAGTTTTGTTTTTTTGTTTTTTTCACTTTTTGGGTCACACCCAGCAATGCACATGGGTCATTTCTGGCTCTGTACTCAGGAATTACCCCTGGTGGTGCTCAGGGGACCATATGGGAAGCTGGGAATCAAACCCAGATCGGCCACATGCAAGACAAACTCCCTACCCGCTGTGCTATTACTCCAGCCCCTCAGTTTGTTCTCTTAAAAAATGAATTTTCTAGGGAGGTATTGAGTAATTTTCTGAAATGGGTTGGTAGACCAAGTTAATTTGGGAATCTCTAGATTAGGAAATGAAGAGAGTAAATTATGAAGAAACACAGAGCACTCTGAAAGTTTCAGTGGTCTGTAGACAATGCTCTCTATCGAGATTATAGGAATCTTAATGAGGCCTTGTGTGTAAAACTCCCAACTATGGAAGGGAATTTGCCTGGTTCTGTAAAGGTAACATTTTGAGAGATCTCTTTGCCCACAAAGTTCTGGAGAAGTGATTTTTGGAAAGCATAGAAAAGCTTATCTTTATTGAGGAGGCGCTTTAGGGTTTTTTTTTTTTTTGGTGGGGGGGGGATGTTGGGGGACCACACCTGATAGTTCTTTGGACTTACTCTTGGCTCTATGCTCAGGAATCACTTGAGGCGAGATTCATGGGACTATAAGATACCGGGGATCGAACCCTGGATAGACGTGTGCAAGACGAGCACCCTATCTGCTATACTATCACTTTTGCCCCTAAAAAAAAAAAGATAATAGTTTTGTTGTTTTTTTTTTTAATTTTTTTTCCCCTTTATTTTATTTTATTTTTTTTAAAGTTGTAGATTTACAATTTTTGTGCTTTGGTTTCAATTATACAATGATCAGATACCCATCCCTCCACCAGTGCCCATTTTCCACCACCATGGATAATATCCCTCCCACCCCCATCCCCCCATCCCCCCTGTCTCTGTGGCAGGGCAATCCCCTGTGTTCTCTCTCTCCTTTTGGGTGTTGTGGTCTGCAAAAGAGGCATTGAGTGGCAAACATGTTCAGTCCATAGTCTACTTTCGACATGCATCTCCCCTCCTGGGAGGATCCTCCAAACATCCTTTATTTGGTGCTCCATTCTCTATCTGAACTGCCCTTTCCTCTAGGATACCCAGCTGGCCTCTAAGTTATGGAGTAATCAAAAAAAGATAATAGTTTTTAAACAAAAGCAAAAATTCCAGCTATCAATTTACCATTGCTCTCCAGTGTTGTAGAACTCCAGATTAGTTCTATTCCTCTCTATTTGGGTATCACCACCTCCACAGTGAAAGATACGAGACAGGGAGAGGGAGAGACCTCCCATGCGTGGAATGGAAAGGAGATATAGTAAGGGAATAACAAACGGTCAGTGTCAGGGAAACTGAAGATTTTGTGTATAGAAATGAACTTATCTGGGGATGGGAAAAAGGGAATCTGGGGACGTGGTAGGGAAAGCAGGTTCTCTGGTGGTGGGTATGGTGTAGGGATGACAGACACATGGAGAGTAGGATTAACAGTATGATGAATCCTGGGGCTTCAATAAAATTTTTTTTAAAAGGTGCCTTAAAAATTAAAAAATGTGGGCTGGAGCGATAGCACAGTGGGTAGGGCATTTGCCTTGCACGCGGCCAACCCAGGTTCGATTACCAGTATCTCATATGGTCCCCTGAGCACCGCCAGGGGTAATTCCTGAGTGCAGAGCCAGGAGTAACCCCTGTGCATCGCCAAGTGTGACCCAAAAAGCAAAAAAAAAAAAATTTAAAAAAGTGCCTTTGGGAACATCATGGATAGACGTTAAGGGAATTATGCCAAGTAAAATAAGTAAAATAATTACTTAATAGTTCCTCTCATATATAACAATAAAAGCAAACAAACTGACAAATAAGTAAAAGTAATTCTGGGACTTGATGAAAATTATGGTGGTTACTGGAGGAAGAGGAATGGAGAGGCAGGAGGATTGCATGGGGGGAGCTTTCTATGGTGAAATGACACTGAACTTCCATGGTAGGAATGGCAGATCCCATCCACAATATACGTGTGTCAATTATACCTCTGAAATTCTACAATATTATAAACCTATTGAAATAAATGAAAAAAAGGGGAAAGAGGTGCCAGTGAGATTATACAGTGGGGAGGACATTTGCCTTCTACATGGCCAACCTGGGTTTGAACCACAGCACCCCATGTGAACCTGAGGCCCTCAGGAGTTACTGGGCACAGAGCCAGGAGTAACCCCTGAGCACTGCCAGATGTAGCCCCCCTGAGAAAAATAAAAGTGGGAGAGTGAATTTCACAAAATATAGGGACTTTCATGAGAGTTCCTAATTATTTAGCAGTATTTTATCTGAGACTCTCTTCTTCCGCCTGCATTCTGCCTTAAACATGTATCTCACTTGCTTGTCTGTCTTGATGTTCCTTTGCTGCCTATGTTCTCTCTTGAACACATTTCCTCTCTTTCTCTCTCCACTCACATCTTTCAAAATAAGTCTTGATAAAAACTGTGTTGCTCACTAAAAATGATCTGAGCGATATTTCAGTTGTTCCAAGGAGTGACAAGATGAGTTCTGTCCAGAGAATGAATGTAGTTATGTAGATACATGTGTGTGTGTGTATGTGTGTGTGTGTGTATTGGATTTTGAGCCACACTGACTAGTGTTCCTGGCTCCATGCTCAAGGGTCACTCCTGCTAGGGCTCAGGAAGACTGTATGGGTGCAAGGAATTGAATTTGGATCAGCCACATGCAAGGCAGGCATCCTACCTGCTGAACTAGCACTCAGGCCCTCATTCTATATTTTAATTCTGATTAAATAAATATTCTACTTGGTAGACATTATTTAATTATGCCACCCTCAAGAACATCATGCGACGACTGGAATGGTAGTGAAGATAGACAGTCGGCAACTACACCACCTCCCATTCACTGGTGACATCATTCTAATAACACCAAACATTAGCCAAGCGGGACGAATACTGGCCGACTTCGACCATGAGTGTGGAAAGGTTGGACTGCAGCTGAATCTCACCAAGACAATGTTCATGAAAAACGAACTCATTCCTGATGTTCCATTTGCTCTCAACAGAACAAATATCTCCAAATGCAACAGTTATGTGTACTTAGGTCGAGAACACAACATGATGAATGACCTGGCACCTGAGCTGTGCAGGAGGAAGAGAGCGGCATGGAACACCTTCAAGAGCGTCGAATAAATAGCTAAGAGGATGAAGAACCTCCAGCTCTGGGCACATCTCTTCGACTCCACCATTCTCCCTGCACTAAAATATGCCTCAGAGACCTGGGCCCTATGAAAACAGGATGAGAACGCTATTCAGGTCTCCCAACGAGGAATTGAAGGAGCTATGTTTGGAGTATCACACTTCACTCAAGTGAGAAAAGGAATCCAGAGTTCCGACCTCTGTTGACAATCGAGAATCAGGGACACTGTCTTGTTTGCCAAGGCATCAAATATCAGATGGTCTGGACACGTAATGCGATTTGAAGATGACCACTGGACTTGAGCCGTTACTGACTGGATTCCACAGGACATCAAAAGAATGTGTGGCCGCCCACCTACCAGATGGTCAGACTTCTTCATCAAGACCCTGAATGAACGGTTTGAGGCTCTTCGTGTTCCTGGAGTGAGTAGATGCCATTGGGCTACACTAGCATGCGACAGGGATGAATGGAGACATTACTGGGACCAGTTCAAGCAGATCAATGAGTAACGGGATGTCAAGTTATCAAGTGATCAAGACATTATTAAACATCTACAATTAGGCCAATAGCACTCACTAAGATAGCAGCCTATCACTCTATGATGTCAGGACATAAAACAAAAAATTATCCTCCATAATAACTAGTTTGGTAGTCATCATAGAAGTAGATTAAGGGTTGTCTTTCCTGTCAGATTTTGCTGGAGGACAGGGCTCATGAGGCAGTGGAGAATATAGAATTGGAGCAATAGCACAGTGGTAAGGCGATTGCCTTGCATGCAGCCAACATCGCCAACCCGAGTTCGATTCTTCCGCCCCTCTCGGAGAGCCTGGCAAGCTACCGAGAGAATCTCGCCCGCACGGCAGAGCCTGGCAAGCTCCCCGTGACGTATTCGATATGCCAAACACAGTAACAACAAAATCTCCAATGGAGATGTTACTGGGCCCGCTTGAGCAAATCGATGAACAACGGGAGGGCCTTATAAAAACATCAGGGATGTCTATTGCTTTCTGATGTGAGTGCAGTTATAGTCCTTAGTGTGTTTCTTTATGAGACAGAGTTCCTAGGGCAGTTGGGAAGATTAAATTTCCCAATATTGCTTCCAGCAATAATCCAGTGAAGAGGGTATTTGCCTTGCATATGACTGACCCGGGTTCAATCCCCAGCATTCTATATGGTCCTCTAAGCACCACCAGGAGCAATTCCTAAGTGCTAAAGCCAGGAATAAGCCCTGAGCATTGCCAGGTCTGACCCCAAAAGACAATAATAATAAAATTGTTACAATGAGAGTAAACTCTTTAATACAATTCTAGCCATAGAATGAATAGTATTGGGAGGTCAGAGAGATAGTACAGTGGGTAAGGTGCTTGCTTTGCATGCAGCTGGCCCAGATTCAATTCCCAGCATCCTATATGGTCCCCTCTGCCTGCCAGAAGTGATTTCTGAGAGCAGAGCCAAGAATAACCCCTGAGCATCATCAAGTGTAGCCCAAAAACAAACAAAAAAGAATGAATAGTATTGAAAGTATTGAAGTGTATTTGTTTTGTGCTATCTTCACAGAGATGTGAACACCTACAAAACAATTTACCTATATGGATGCAGAAATACCCTTTGATGTCAGCCAACAGTTTATTAATTTCAACATATGAAGAAAAAAATGAATTTCTTTCACGTATTCAGCACTATCGTAGTTATAAAATTAGCATAAATGTATTCTTAACTCTTAAGTGACATTCATCAGACAATCCAGAACTGTGAAATTTATCCAGAGAAAACTATTACAAAAAAAGGGCTATGAAAACGAGGCCAGAGAAAAAAAACATTTTATATAAAAAGAATAAGGCAAGGTAGAGGAGCTATTACAGTAGCTAAGGCACTTTCCTTGCACCCTACTGGCGCAGGTTTGATCCCCAGCGCCCCACATGATCCCCCAAGCACTGCCAGGTGGCCAAAAAATAAAAGATATGGCAGCAGGAAGGACTGGGAAATTCTAGGAATTAATGAACTGAATGCACATATAACGTATTAAACCTTTGTCGTATTCAAAACAGTGATGATTTCAGAATGGGCCTCAACCTGTGGCAAGCAGGTCAAAGGTTTCCTGCCTGTCAGGCACAGTCCCTTCAACAGATTAATCTCCCAGGACAAAATAAATGAACGACATGGAATCTGATCATCTGAATAGGGTTTTATTTTTTTAAAGAACTCATTTCATGAATGCACATTCATAAAACAAATTAGAATAACTGGTCCTGTAGACAAATAATACCCTCCCATAATAGGCAGGTGTTACTTAAAAATCTGATCACAAATCAGATGCTTCAAATGGTGTGTTCAACTTAGATGAAAGATGGAATATCCTAAAAAGGTTTCCAGTGACTGCAAAATTAGCCTGAGGCAAGAACATTCTTACGGAAGATGTGTGTGAAGAGTTCCAAGGGAATGTGGAAAAGCAAAATGCAGTAAAATGTTTACTGTGTTACAGACAATCTTAATTACTACTAAGAATAGTAAAGGGATGAGGATCCCTCCTCACCTGTTGGTGGAATCTGGGACTGTGTAAAGTCCGAGCAGCCAGTAGAGCTGTCTGTTCTCGGTTCACCTTTGCTACCCTGAGCCTCTCACTGCTACTCAGCTCTTGTGGTGTTGCGTACACTTAGCTTATCCTCCACTGTTTGTCTTATGGTTAATCCTCTTCCGTGGGGGAGGGGGCCTCAGCCTCTTCCTCTTCCAGTTCCTCTTCTTCCTCTGACTCTTCAGTCTCTGTGTACTCATCAGTTTCTCGCGAAGGAGGTTCTTGCGTTTTGCTAAATATGATGGCACTAATAATTATGATTAGAGTTAGTAGAAGCAAAAAGATAAGGGCACTGAGGACTGCCACACTCAGCCCTTTCTCCTTTTCTATGGCTGAGCCCCTTTCCTTTTTGGGATCTGAGGTCTCTGGTTCGACTGGGGAGCCACCGTCCTCACTGCCACCAGCACCTCTTTCAGCGCAGGTTGGAGGGGCAAAGCCTGGGAAACAGTAACACTTATTTAAATTGTTACAGATCCCATGCAGATTACACTGCTCTACTTTACAGGAAAGTCTGGGAAGGAAGTTAGTGCAGGTGTTTTCCTGACAGGCTTTTTCTGAGAAACAACCAGTTTCATCATCTATGTCTCCACGATCAGGGATATCGTTATTGTGATAGGCGTCCATGGTCCAGCAGTAGCTGCCGTCATGCCAGAAGCTACTCACTGTATAATACTCCTCGATGTTTGGCAATACATCAACATTTACACATACAATTTTCCCACAATAAATATTGTCCTTTGAACACCTAGTATATGATGTGTCAGCCGAGGTGGCACGGCCGCAGTTTCCAAACCTGTTCCCTTGACTGTTCACTTTCATGTAACAGCTCTCTGGGGCTGAGGTAGCAGAATCTCCAAACAGATCCATGCACTTTGTCCTGTGGCTCTTGCACTTGCCACCAGAGCACACGTACATCTCATCACACGTGGACCCATCCACCTTGTAGAGGTCTTGGGGGCACTCAGGGCTGATCCCGTCGCAGTACTCTGGGAGGTCACAGTCCTCAGCATCAGACCGGCACACGTAGCCCCGGGGTTGAAACTTACAGTCGTCGCTACAGCAGTCCCCCCCTCCACACTCTGCCTGGCCCTTCAGCTTACAGTCGCTGGTGCAGCATCTGCTATCCATACACTGGTCACCGCAGTCACACTGCTCGTTGCCCTCCCGCTTCCCGTTTCCACAGGTCAGCATGGCTTGCCGACGCTGCCGGCTCGGAGTTGGAGGCTTGTTGAACAGGCACGACTCTCCGTGTGCCTGGAGGAAGCGGTAGTAGTCGTCAGAGCTACAGTTGCTGAAGCCAGTTTCTTGACTGATATTTTTGTGCATGAGGCAAGAGTGTGTACTCTTACAAACGCAGGCAGCGTGATCGTGCCACATGCCCAAGTTGTGCCCAAGCTCATGGACCAAGAGCTCCACGAATAGGAGCACATCTTCATGGTGGAAGGATTCGACGGCAGCCGCAAACTCACTTGAACAGGCTCCACTGAGGAACGCCTGGCCCGAGTCCTCTGCAGCGCCATGCCCAACGATCAAGTGGGCCACATCATGCGGCGCTCGGTGAGAGAGCTGCTCTCGTCTCCAGCTGTTGAAATTCCGGAGAGTTTCCTGCAGGTCTGCCTGGACCTCGATGAGGTCACCCTCAGTCCAAATCTCCACCCCAGCCAGCACCACCTCTGTGTTTATTCCCCTTGTGTAGCTGTTAGCCAGGGCAATGATGTTCATTACCTTCTGCACTGTCTCACTGATGTTACTGTCCCACATCTGGAACAGCTGATGGTTGACCACAACAAATATCTCCACGTACTTGGTGCGTGACCACAAGGAGGACTGTGCCTGGACTCTGCTGGGTTTCCTGCTGTCCTGTTGCAGACCATCAGGCTCTCCCCGGCTGTGGTTAGTGTGGACAATGCTGCTACACGAGATATGACTTTGCCGGACCGTGGGATACAACACGTGTTCCAGCCCTTCTGAGGGGTCCGTGGGCTCGATGCTGTAGTACTGTTCGTCCTTAATCAGGATGCCTCTGAGGCCAGCGCAGGTGCTGACAGAAACGAAAGAGTCCAGTACTCCCTCCAAGTGGCCTTCATAGTGACAGTCGTGCGGGGTGAAAGGCTGTTCATGCCTCAGAATGCCACCATGGTAGGAAAAGACTGGGAAATCATTCACAAAATAATCTCTCTTTATCTCCAAGTGAATGCGCTGCCTCTGGCCATGCATGACTAGCTCGTAGGACGCCATTTCCCCTGAGTCTTCGCTGTCATTAACTGTCAGATTCCTGGGAATAACTTTTTCATAGTAAGAGTTAGAGACTGATCCTGGATCACAGGACAAGCTTGGCAGGAAAATCAGCATGACCCATGCCAGCACGTTCCCCACACACGAAGGTCCCAGCGAGGTCTGCTCCAGTCTCAAGCCCTTCATCTGGTAAGTCCAAGCCTGAAGAACAGGAGGCATCATCACCCCCAAAGGCTGCCACTGATGTTCCAGACCCTCCGTTACAAACAAGGAGCAGCTCCACGCCTTTGCCAGCTGTGGAAGGGGCGGTGGCTGCCTACCTCTGATCAGTCTGCCTCCAGGACTTCTGCGGTGACAGCACTCTTCAACTAAGGGCCTTTTGACATCATGGAGCGATGTGATCATGGAGGACTGGCGGCTCCATGATGCCACACAGCACCTGGAGAGAGAAGCCAAGTCTCCGTGCCTTCTCAACTGTGCCAAATGGGACACCCCTCCCCCACCCGCCTTCCTGTTGTCAGTTGCTCTGAATATTCCACACACCAAAGGGGCTCAGTGTTCTTGGGTGCATGCTCCCTGATGCCTCTTCAGCTTTTAAAAATTTTAAGCACCATAATTTATGATACTGTTTATGGTAGAGGTGAATGCATAAAACATTCCTGCATCATCATCCACTACTGTGCCCCAGGATAAACTTCCTACTAAAGGTTAGTTCTCAGTTTCTGTTGTCTTTGGGCATTTATTATTCCCTATGTTTCTTTGTCTGAGAGATCATTCTGTATCCCTCTCCTTCTAACTTTCTTAGCGTGATTACTGTATCACTGTATCACAGTCATCCCATTGTTCATCGATTTACTTGAGCGGGCACCAATAACGTCCATTCGTCCCAGCCCTGAGATTTTTGGCAACCTCTCCTTCCTTACTCGTCTTTCCCAATGCTGCCATATTGGAGGCTCTTTCAGGGTCAGAGGAATGAGACCCGTTATTGTTATTATTTTTGGCATATCATTTTTTGGCATATCAAATATGCCACAGGAAACTTGCCAGGCTCTGCCGTGTGGGTGGGATACTCTCGGTAGAGGCATAAATATATATATTTTTTCCCTCTATGATTTGTTGCCTACTGTATGAACCCCATAAGATATGGTATGATATTTAAAATGGGTAAGAAGTGTCTTATGTTGTGTCCAGGAATATGTTCACTTGTATGTGAGGCTCGGCCTGAGTGTGTGGGAAGTGGCCTGGAGCGTGGCGGTGGTTGGGTAGTGGAGGTTGGTTGCCGGGGCTGGGTCCCTTGGGGCAGGGAGGGCTCTTACCCGTCCCCCTCTTGGGCACCCTGAGTAAAAAACAACTTCGCGTGGAGTCTGGTGGCATGGTTATGGGGGCCTCATTTTATGCTCCCTTCTGGGAGAAGCAACCATGAGTTCTGAAGGGTGGCTAATGAGATTATCTGGTGTGGACAGGAGGTAGCTTATGGGTATGACCCCTTGGTTGCCGGAGACCAGAGACGAGGGGAAGCGGGCAGAGGACCTCTGCTCCCAGGTCCCATTGAGCCCAGAGTCCAAGCGTGACACTCTCTGGATCTCACTATGTAGCAGCAAGTTGCACGATCTCATCTTTTCTTAAAGCCAAGTAAGTTGAGTAATACTTCCTTGTGCATAGGTACAGGTTTTGTGTTTTTTTTAAGCTTATTTTTATTTTATTTTATTTTTTTGCTTTTTGGGTCACACCTGGTATGCTCAGGGGTTACTTCTGGTTCTACACTCCACTCAGGAGTTACTCCTGGTGGTGCTCAGGGAGCCATATGTGTTGCTGGGGATCAAACCCAGGTCTGCTGTGTGCAAAGCAAACATACTATCGGCTGTCCTTTCATTCTGGCCCCTCAATCTTTAGTTTTTTGAGGAGTTCATATTATCTTCTAAAAAGGCGGGACCAGCTGACTTTTCAACCAGTAGCGGATGAGGGTCCCTTCCCCCCACATCCACACCAATATTTGGTTGCTTTTGTTTGTTGTGATGTATGTCAGTCTCACTGATATATCTTATTGTTTTAATTTGCATCTTTCTGGTGGTTAGTAACGTAGCACTGTAGCACTGTTCTCCTGTTGTTCATTGATTTGCTCAAGCAGGCACCAGAATTTATTGATCTTTGTTCATCTATATATTTTCTTTATTATTTTTTAATTTATGTATTTTCTTTAAGGAGATTTTTTTTTCTTTTAAAGGAGATTTCTGTTCATCTCTTCCCCTTTTGATGGGGTTGGTTATTTTTCTCTTATAAAGTTCTACTGGTGCTTTATATATCTTGGTTATTAATCCTTTGTGGACTCAAAGTCTCTTTCTTTGTTTTGGGGCCACACCCGGTGGTGCTCAGGGATCACCTCCTGGCAGGGCTTGGGACACTTTGGGACACTATATGGAGTGCTGGGAATTGAACCCTGGCTGGCTGCATTCAGGGCAAGTGCGCTACCGCCAATGTTTTCTTTCAGTGAATGTCTTTTTGTTTTGGTTATCGTTTCTTTTGCAGTGCAGAAGATTCCTGATTTAATGTAGTTCTTTATTTCCCACTTTATTTAAAAACCCTAGTTTACAAAGTTGTTCATGGTGATTTGTTCCAGGCATTCAGTATTCCAATTCCAATCCCTCCACCTCTGTCTCCATGTTCACAGCCACCCCTCAAGCCTGCCCCCGTAGCGGGCCCACAGTAACTTATTTTATATTGCTTGTTACCACTTAATGGCTAATGGAATGATCAAAACATGCTTCACGATCACGATCACAATCATCCTGTTGTTCGTTGATTGCCTTGAGCGGGCACCAGTAACGTCTCCTTCGCCCTAGCTCTGAGTTTTTTTTTTTTTTGCTTTTTGGGTCACACCCAGCGATAGTCAGGGGTCACTCCTGGCTCTGCACTCAGGAATTACTCCTGGCAATGCTTGGGGGACCATATGGGATGCCGGAGATTGAACCCAGGTCGGCCGCATGCAAGGCAAACGCTCTACCCGCTGTGCTGTCGCTCCGGCCCAGCCCTGAGATTTTAAAAAGTGCCATATTCAAGGCGCTTTCAGGGTTAGGAGAATGAGGCCCATCATTGTTACTGGTATTTGGCATATTGGGTACGCCACGGGGAGTTTGCCAGACTCTGCTGTGTGGGCAGGTTATATTCGGTAGCCTGCCAGGTTGTCCAAAGTAAGAATGAGATAATAAGATGTCCGGGAGCTGGGTCTTATAGTCTCTGCGTCATGGCCGTTGATGGGATTACACGGCGCAGGGGACCAATTGGTGGGTGTGACACCGGACTACTGGAATTTGGAGGATCTGGATGGAGGATGCTCAGCCCCGATCTGAGCAGGCTTGGAGATCTCAGCCCCGGGACCCGCATGCCTTTGTTCCTCTGCTGGTACCTTCATGCGTGTGGAGAGTGGTCTCAGCATGGTTGTGGCTGGTTCTGGAGGGCTTTGGCTGCTGGAGCTCTGCCCGGGGCGGGGCGGGAAACTCAAGCTGTCCCCCCTCCAAGGGGCCCCGGCGAGGACAGCCAGGCACGGGCTGGGGAGACTCTGTGCTGTTCTCTTCTGGGAGCTGGGTTATAGTCTCTGGGTCTTGGCCGTTGATGGGATTACACGGTGCAGGGGGCCAGTTGGTGGGTGTGACCCTGGCCTACTGGAAGATGGAGGATCTGGGTGGAGGATGCTCAGCCCCGCACCTGGCTGTCCTCGCCAGGGCCCCTTGGAGGGGGGCAGGTTGAGTTTCCCTCCCTGCCTCGGGCAGAGATCCGGCAGCCGAAGCCCTCCAGAACCAGCCACAACCATGCTGAGACCACTCTCCACACGCATGAAGGTACTGGCAGAGGAACAAAGGCATGCGGGTCCCGGGGCTGAGATCTCCAAGCCTGCTCAGATCGGGGCTGAGCATCCTCCACCCAAAAAATGCTTCAATGCAAGAAAATTTGTGCACATTGTTGTATCTCACCATGGGGACATTAAGTCCTTGTCTGGGGTTTGCTAAGCTGTTGTTGCTAGTTGAGCATTCTGTGTTAATGCTTCTGTTAGTCAAACTTAGTCGGTTTCTATTTGCATTCCCATCTGGTATGTTCCAACTGGGATGTTTGTAATGTATGGTTTGGAGATATCACAGCCACATGCTCCAGAAAGTCCAGAATATTTAACTGTGCAGCAAACTTCCACGGCAACGGCAGTGGGGTGTGGTTGTGGCCATCAGGACTTCTGGAATTACAGATGGAGTGGGGTGGGGTGGGCAGGGGGGGTTACCCACCCCAACTCCAACAAGGCCTGGAGTTTCAGTCAAAAAAAAAAAAGAAGAAAAAAACAACAGTGTACCTAAATTTGGGGCAGTTTGGCATCAGTGTGGAACTGGAAATCAACTGTGAGATCTTAAACTCTGGCCATGGGCATGGGGGCAGCTGCCAATTGGTATGAGTGCAGCGACCAGGGCCCTGGTAGGACGGGAACTTGGTCTGCCCCCTCCTGAGATCACCCTGGAGCTCTCAGCCAATGACCAGTGTATCAAGGAATGTTTGTGACTAGTTGATTTCTTTTGAGATTTAATTCTGAGTCTCTCGAACAAGGCCAGAAGGTGAGTTCTGCTGTGGTGGTGACACATGGGTGTGGTTCTGTAGTTCCATTTTTTATCCTTGCTCTGGTAGCTGGGCACTGAATTGTTGAAATGCCTCAGGGTTCTATGTCATGAAGTGATCTGTTTTCCTCAATATAACCTATTGATTCAGGTCAGTACTGAGGTCTTCAATACATTTTGATTTGACTTTTATGTATGGTATCAGAAAGGGGTCTGAATCTTTTTTTTTTTTTTTGCATGTGACTGACCAGTTTTTCAACACCATTTGTTGAAGAGGCTTTTCTTGTTCTACTTACCTTTTGGCTCTTTAAGGACAATTAATTGTCCAGGGGCTAGAGCAGTAGTACAGACAGGAGGGCACTTTCCTTGCACACGGCTGACCCAGGTTTGATCCCCGGCAACTCATGGTCCCCCGAGCTCCACCAGGAGTTATGCCTGAGAGCAGAGCCAGGAATCAGCCGAGCACCAGAGTGTGGCAAAAAAGGAGGGGCCAGAGTGAAAGTATAGTAGGCAAGCACTTACCTGATACACAGCCAAGCCAGATTTGTTCCCTGGCATCCCTCCAGGGCACAGAACTCAAGTAACTCCTGAGCACTGCCAGGTGTGACCCAAAACCTTAAAAAAATAATAATAAAGGAAAAAGGAAAAGGATTAACTGTCCTTATACCTGAGGATCTGTCACTGGACTTTCAATTTTGCTCCATTGGTCTGAGTCTGTCCTTATTCCAGTACCACATTGTTTTGACTACTGCAGCTTTATAGGATAATTTGAAGGTGGGAAAGAGGAGCCTCGCATCTTTTTGCATCCATTTGCTTTGTCTATGTGTGGGTGGTGGTGGGGATGGTATTACTCCACATAAATTTCAACAGCATTTGGTCTATGTCTTTTTAAAAGGTCAAGGATAGTTTGTAAGGAGTGCACTGAATCTATAATGCTTTGGACAAGTTCATTCATTCATTCATTCATCATCCTGTTATTCGTCGATTGGCTCGAGCAGGCCCCAGTAACGTCTCTTTCATCCTAGCCCTGAGATTATATTCAAGGCTCTTTAGGAGAATGAGACACATCATTGTTACTGGTATTTGGCATATTTGGTGCGCCACGGGGAGTTTGCCAGACTCTGCCCTGTGGGCAGGCTATATTCGATAGCCTGCAAGTTTGTCCAGAGTAGGAATGAGATAATGAGATATCATAAAAAGATGTTTTGATAAGATGTCGCACGGCCGCGAATGCGGCCGCGCGGTTCCGGGAGCTGCAAGTTGGTCAAGTTGGTCCTTTTATTTTTTGGCTTTTTGGGTCACACCCAGTGATGCTTAGGGGTTGCTCCTGACTCTACACTCAGGAATTACTCCTGGTGGTACTCAGGGGACCCTGTGGATGCTGGGGATCGAACCTGTGTTGGTTGTGTGCAAGACAAATGCCCTACCTGCTATACAAATGTCATTTTGACACTATTAATCCTTCCAATCTTTTCAAAATAAAATGAGATGTTTTCATTTCCTTGTGTTCTTTTATTTTGTGGTAATGTATAGTTTTTTTGTTGTTGTTGTTTGTTTTTCTTTTTTTTGTTGTTGTTGTTGTTTGTTTTTCACGTAAGTCTTTCACCTCTGTTAAATTGATTCCCAGATACTTGATTTTTCCAGATGAACAGGATTTTTTTTTCTTTTACTGCACCTGATTGGTGCTCAGGGCTTACTCCTGGCGGTGTTCAGGGATCACTCATGGAGCTAAGGGAACCATATGGGATCAAACCCAGATTGGCTACATGCAAGGCAAATGCCCTTCTCGCTGTGGCCCCAGAAAAGCCGTGGGTTTCTGCACAGTGAATTTTGTGGACTGCCATTTTACTGTACAAAATCACTGTTTTGGTTATCTAAGATTTTCTCCAAGTAGAGAAGGTTTGATTTCTTTTCTGATCTGGATGCCCTTTGATTCTCTTTCCTGCCTGTTTTGGCAAGGACCTCTAATAGAAGCGCTGTGAGTGGGTAGCCTTGGCTTGTGCCGGATCTTTGGGAGGCATTCAGGTTTTCACCACTGAGTAGATGTTTGCTGGAGACTTGTGGCAAATGACTTTATCCGTGTTGAGGAAAGTTCCTTTAACCCCTATTGAAGAGTTTTTAGCATGAGTGGGTACTGATCTTGTCAAAGGCTTCTCTGCACCTATTGATATTTACTTTTCCTTGTACTGATATGGTGTATTATATATATTAAATCATATTTACATCCCAAGGTTAATTCTACTTGGTCATGGTATATGATCTTTTTGACGCATTGCTGGATTCAGTTTGCTAATATTTGGAAGATCTTTGCACATACGTTCATCAGGAATAAGTGTAGTATTCCCTTTTTTGTGATGTCTGTCTGCTTTTGGTATCGGTGATGTTTGCCTCATAGAAACGGGGCGAATTTGTTTCTCCCACTTTCTGAAAGAGCCTACGAAGGATTGAAGTAGGTCTTCAAAGGTTTGAAAGACTTACTAATTAAATCCAGCTGGGCCTGGGCTATTGTTTTGGCTAAACTTTTGATTACAGGTTTTCTTTATTATTTTTGTTGTTGCTTTGGATCACACCAGTGTTCACACTCAGGAATTACTCCTGGTGTTGCTTGGTGGACTATATGGCATGCTAAGGATCGAACCCAGGTCAGTCATGTGTAAGGCAGGTGCCCTCCTTGCTGTCCTATCACTCCAGTTCTCCATTTTTATTTCTCTGATAGCAATTTCTCTGGTCAGGTGCTCCTTCAAGGATGATACAATCTTGAAAAGTGTATAGAGCCTAAAATGAATCCATTTCTTCTAAGTTCTCTAGTTTCCTGGCATAAATGTTCTCTGTCTCTCTCTCCACTCTACCTCCCCCCATTCCTGCATCTTGCTAATGGTTTGTCAAACTCTTTAAATTGTTTTTTCAGTTTCCATTTCATTAATTTCTTCTCTAAATTTTATTTTCTTATGCTTGCTTTGGAGTCCTTTTGCTGGCCTTTTTCTAGCTGCTTGAGCTGTACAGATAGATTATGCAGGCCTTTTCTTATTTCAAATGAACACTTGTATTGTCCTGGTAGCTTTTTAAAAAATATTTATATTTTTGTTTTAGGGCCAGTCCCGCAGTGCTCAGGGATTACTCCTGGCTCTATACTCAGAAGTTATTTCTCGAGGGGCTCAGGGGACTATATGGGATGCCAGGGATCGAACTCAGGTTGTCTGCATGCAAGGAAAGCACCCTACCCACTGTACTATCTTTCCAGACTCTGATTAACTTTTATTTCTACAGCATCGTGGTCTGGGAGGGTAGTTGATAATGTCTATATTCTTGATTTTATGAGGACATGTGACCTGGCGTATAGTCTATCTTGGAGAATGTCCCATGTGTACTGGAGAATGTTTATTTGACTTTTGGGGGATGTGGAGCCCTCTATGTGTCTGCTGAGCCCACCTCTGCCATTTCTTCCTTCAAAGATGGTATTCCATTATCGCTCTTCTTGATTAAAAAAACAAGTCTCGGGGCTAGATCGTACAGGTGTCTGAGCCCTGTTCCCCACAGAGTAGGATACTATTGGTGGAAGAAAGGGAACAAGGGAGGGAGGAAGGAGCGAAAAAAAGAGAAGAGAAAGAAAAGGAAGGAGGGAGGAAGGGAGGGAGGAAGGAAGGAAGCCAACACCTTTTAACAACTGACAGCAGAGGGGTTTTACCATTTTCTCTAAGCAGTAGGGGCACCCCCTGCAGCCTGGCAGCTGGCATCCTGAGTCCCAGCAGTCTGCAACATGAATCCCCAAAATTCTTTTGGCACCAGAACGAATCTACAGTCAATGCAGAATGCGAGTGAAAGACAGTGCAAGTGAGACACACTCCACCATACTTAATCCAAATGCTCACAGCCGAAAAGTCAGTAGAGTTGATCGTTTGTCAACTACCAGCACATCATTTTTGTATACTTTATTGCAAATAAAGCAATTTTGCTTGATAATTCCATCTGTCATCTTACAAATATATGACTAAACAGTCCTAAAGTAATAAATAGTATAACTCTAGGAACTGAACTTTCCTTTAAAACACACAAATAAACTATGCTATGAATAAATCCTGTATCTAAATGTATACAGCATATTTCAACAATATGGAAATGAAATTAGGATTTATTAATTTACATAAAAATTACTTTATACATTAAAGAATAATATTTCAAATTATTAAAAAACAAAGTCTGATTTCTCATTATTGGGATTCATGGGATGTGGTCTGTTCTTCTATCACTTGCTTCACAATTTCTGCCAGCTTTAGTCGATCAACTTTATCTGTGAATCCACGACCTGAAACCCAAGACAGAAAAAGTCTCCAAACCAGGTGATTAACAGACTTCTGAAGTTATACCCCTGGGCCCTGTCAAATTCACTCTCACCAATGGAGGAACCATCCCTGGTACTAGAGCAAACCACGTGTTTCAGGTAGCAACATGGCTGTTCCACTAACCTACTACTAAAATCCAAAGTTCACTACAAGAGCAAAAAGGGAACCATTCAAGGAGATGATTTTTTTGGTAACACATATGTGTGACAAGGGACTTATAGCCACAATACATAAAGAAATACATTTCTTGGGAACCACATGGTCCTCCAAGCACCACCAGGCATATGCAAGGCAAACACCCTACCCACTGTCCTATCACTTGGCCCTAGAAAAGATTTTTTAAAAAAGCTTGACTTACAAGAGTTACTGAATGAGTTTTTGACGCCAAGACCAGCTTGGGTGGCATGACGGCCCACAGCACCACAGCTTAGCTGGTTCAAGGTGCCTGGTCACTGAAATGGGCTGCCTGTTCTCCTCTCCCCCCACCCCCCATTTAAAAAAATTAGGTTTTAAAACTGACAAACCACATTATGCTACAGGTGTGCAACAGAGTGATCCAACTGCATGCACTGCATGATGCTCGCAAGGACATTCAGCATCTTACAGAATTTCAAGTTTTTTTTGACAACAAAACCTTTGAGTTTCTTTTCTGGTTTTGGCTTTTTGGGTCACACCCTGCTATGCTCAGAGATCATTCCAGGCAGTGCTTGGAGGACCATGCGTGGTGCTGGGGACCAAACCTGGGCTGGCTGCATGCCAAGGCAAGTGCCTTCGCCCCTGTACTATCTCTGGCCCTGGGTGATGACAATTTTTGACATCAACTCTCTTAGCAATTTTCAAATACACCAGGCCAGAGAGACAGTATAGGAGCTAAGGCACTTGCCCGGCACATAGCCGCAGCGGCCGTGACCCTGGCTAACCCCAGCACCAAGGATGATCCCTGATCTCTGATGGGGTCACTCCCGAGCAGAGCCGGGTGAGCCCCCCCTCCAGGTAAGCACACGTGCAACACAGTAATGTTCACTACAGCATCCCTAGGACTTTTTACATTTTGTAACTGGAAATTGTCTTTTTTTTCCAAGTTTTTTTTTGGGGTGGGGCGGGGACCACCCAGTGGTGTTCAGACCCTATGCTGGGGGGGGGGGAGTCACTCCTGGCAGTGCACAGGGGACTGGAAGGTACTTCGGATGCACCCAAAGCCTTGCATCTCTCCTGGCTCTAAGAGTCTTTAAAAGTTCGTCCTTCTCAGTCCTATCATCCACTGCTGCTCATTCCCCCAGAGCAGCCCCTGATATAAGGAGAATGACGCTCCACTATACATGGCAGCAGCAAGGCTGAAGCTAATCCAATGTCGACTAGAAGAAGCAGACACCAAAGGAGACAGACATGTCTGTTCCCATTTATATTAAACACAAAACCAGGCCAATGAATGCATAGTGCTAAAACAGGGTTCGGGTTCTGTAAGACGCCCAATGCTCTCCTTAGGGGCTCATATGGGGGGTGAGGCGGGGGTGGGGAACATTTTGTGGAAATTCATCAAAATGAAATAATCACGTTTTATTTCTGTATTGTTATTTCCACATCTTTCTTTTCTGTGTTTTGGACCACGCCCTGCAATGCTCTGTGCTCAGGGATCACATCTGGCAGGGTTCTGAGGGGTCATATGGGGTGCTGGAGCTCAAACCCTAAGAGAGCAAGCACCTTGATCCCTGTACTCTTTCCCCAGCCCCTCGACATCTTTTCTGAAGCTCAGGGAAGAGACTCTCTGCAGGCACGGCCAGACTAGGGCTTTTGATTTCTCCTGTTGAAGAACCAGGTGAGACAAGGCAGTCAAACCACTTGTTCCCCTCGAAGCTGCAGCTTTTCACTCTGCAGAATCAGATACTAACAAAGGCACTTTGGGACCTTGTTTGCCTCGGGGCTAGGGGACCCAAGCAGCGGTGACAGCTCTTGTGGGAACGTGCTGATGGGCAGAGAAGATGCCTGGCCCCCTCCCCTTCCAGTGCCCTGCTCCTCACAGTGACATGGTGAGCAGCGTGCTCAGGGAAGGTTCTGATCTCAGGCTGCTACTGCTTTAGCAGAGGCCACGCTGGCGGTCTGGCCGCAGGAGAAGAGAAGCGTGCCCGCAGCACCAAGTGCCAGGGACTGCACTTGGGGCCTCCCCCTGTGCCCTCCCAACTCTGTCCTCACGGCCCAAGTGGTGGGGGTTCTCCAGTGTGGAATCCACAACACACAGACTATCTGAACCCTGAGAAACAAGTAAAAGGATCAAATGTCCAGACACATCTGGGCAGTTCATGGAGGCTGAGCCTCTGTCCCCTTCCTTCACCCAGCGCGGGCCCAGAGACCTACACATGCAGAACACACGGTGCGCCTGGACCCGGGAGGGCATGAGGGGGCACCTACCGTTCCAGCTGAAGCTCTGCAGAGTGTCGCGGAGAAGTTTGCATTCCCGGTTATACTTCCAGGCCTCCTGCATCACTTCATTCAGCTTCTCGTCTTCATTCTCTCCTGCAGAGAAAGGTGAGGAAGATGTTTCATTTCCCAGTACCATGAGCTTCTGGTATCAGCAACAGGACCTAGCCAGCTTGTTGAAATATGATGACCAAAGGTGCGAACCTGACCAGACTGCCTACCCCGCGGCCCCGTTACCCCTCCACCACCTCTGGTCTTTGAGCTCTTCTACTCTGCCAGCTTCAGAAGGACCCTCAGATGGACTGGGTCTCAGCATCGGAGGATGAGTGTCAGATATCAGTGGCAGCAAAATACCAGGCTAACTGTAAAGTCCCAAACAGGGAAGCATGTAAGGCTGAGGGGTTCCCTTCTTTCACCAATTCTTACTTAATCCATCCTTTGAAGCACACTGGGCTCTCACTGGGCTCTTAAAAGCCAAGTAACCTAGGATGGCTGGCCGGCAGCAGCTTTCTGACCCGCTCCCTGAAACATCTGGATTTATTGGCCAAGAACCCCAACACATCATGCCGAGTGGCACGAGAACATACAAGAGAGTGTTCCTGCCGTAGAGAACTGAGCCAGCCACATGAGCAGGGGCCGCGGTGACTCCTGACCCAGTGAGGCATTTTCTTTTTATGCACAAACTTACGGCACTCCTGTAGTCTACAGGCTCTGAAAATTACGTTTCACAGCCTAAAACCTGACACTGTCGATATCTATTTTCCATCTTTTATCCTGTACCTTATAACAAACTAAGGAAACACAAAATTACAAGCTGCATTTAACATGTGAAACCTAAACTAAAAATGTCATAAAAGCCAAAGGGCAGGACTTATCACATTTCTGAGTTCTCTCTCACTTACTACACTTTCTAGTGGGCACAGACTCATTTATATAATCTTTTTTTTTTATAACACAATGATGAGAAACCCCAGATCAACGCATGTGTGCTCGCACATGCGTGCACACACACACACACACACACACACACACACACACACACACACACACACAAAGCATTCAGAAACGGTGTGACCTTTACCAGCCTGCGGGAGAATACACTGAGCAATCACGTCTCGAAGTTTCTCCAAGGCAACGTTGGAATCCTCAGCTCCATTCTCGCGGCCATGGATATAAACGCTGTCCTTTGGCTTGGTGCTTAAGAAGTTTGGGAGACAGGTGGCAAGGTAAGACCCCAAATCCCAACTTTCAACAGCTGTTAATTCTAGGCAACCTGCCTTGCACATATCCAACCGGGTTTACTTCCCAGTACCGGCAGCCCATATGGTCCCTTGAGCCCTCCAGGAGTGGACCGTGAGCACAGAGACAGGAGTGAGGCCTGAGCATCACTGGTGGGGCCCAAAGCGAAAACAAATCAACCCCACCCCCAAAAAAATCCTTGAGGGCAACATACTTTTTTTGGTTTGTTTTTGAGGGCAACATACTTTTTAAGTTAATAACTTTTTTTTGCTTTTTGGGTCACACCTGGCAGTGCACAGGGGCTACTCCTGGCTCTGCACTCAGGAATTACCCCTGGCGGTGCTCAGGGGACCCTATGGGATGCTGGGAATGGAACCCGGGTTGGCTGCGTGCAAGGCAAACGCCCTACCCGATCTGCTATCACTCCAGCCCCTAAGAAAATAACTTAAATAATGAACCTCCTCTTTCTGATGCAGTCTCTTCTCTCCACCCCTTAAGAAGCAGGAGAAGGGCAGACCTGTGCTGACCATCTCCACCCCAGCCCTCAGCCAGACCCATCACGAAAGCGGCTTAGTTACCCGAGCAGCTTCCTCTTTCGGAGAATGGGGTTGTTCACGGAGTGCAGGGGCTTCAGGCTGACCTTGGGGTCCTGGATGCGCATGTTGGCCAGCTGCTCCGCGTGCGCCTGCTGGATCCCCGCCACCACGGCCTGCGCGCAAACACTGGGGTCAGTTTTCCGCATACATATCCAGGCACCTAAAAACCAGTCTCGGTGAGTGGAGAGAAAAGGCCGAAAGGACCAGGCGGGCAGTTTCCCTCTCGTGCCAGCAGCACACAAATCCCAAGACAGCGAAGGACCTGGCATTAGCAGGATCTAAGACATGACGGGCCCCGGGAGGATGAGGCTGATCAGAAGCCGAGAGTGGAGCCTTTCTTCCCTGCAGGAGGCAAAAGCTCAAGTGAAAAATACTAACCCGGGGGCTGATGGCGTTAAGCACCGAGCAGGGAGGGCGCTTACTCTGCACACAGCTGCCCAGGATTCAATCCTCCCAGCTCATCTTTCCCCAACGCGCCAACCAAGGGAACTCTCAGCATTGATTTTCTCATCTGCTCATTCTTTTTCACACTTCTTAGCTGGTAATACTCACGGCTTTGGCCCCTTGGTCACACACTCTGATCCTACACCTCAATCCTGAAAACTAAAAGCTCCCCTCCAGGGCACAGGAGATGGCACCGAGGGCTGGAGCATGCGCACTGCAGGCAGGTCTGGGTTTGATCAAGGGCACGATCCCCTGAACACTCGTGTATGGCCTCAGCCCAAACCAAACCAAACCAAAGCACAAGAGGGCTGGAGCGATAACACGGCGCGTAGGACTTTCCATAGCCAGACCAGGTTCGCGCCCTGACACCACGTATGGTCCCCTGAGCCTGCCAGGAGTGATCCATGAGCACAGAGCTAGGAGCAAGCCCTGACCATTGCTTGCTGTAGCCCCAAAACAAAACAAAACAAAAAAAACCCCATCACCACCAAAAATCACGACCACCAAAAAGCCGTCCCTTTCCCCACACATCAGGGAATTCCTGACTTTCCTCTACGTGGTAATGGTTACCGTCAGGGTTCCCAGTGGCCCCATGGATCTAAGCAGTCACCAAAAGTGAAACTTCCTCTTCAACTGGTCACTATCCTAGCCCTCTCCTTAGAGCTGCCTCCCATTTTTAGATGACTGTGCAAATCTGCGGCTAGCAAACCCTCTCGTCTGCAGGGCACCGCTCTACCTTTCCAAGGGAAAGTCTTGCCTCAAAACTCTCTGCTGCTTTTCTGGCTCCTGATCAAGCTGCTTAACGGCCATGATCCCAGAGACTCAGAAACAAATCTTGGAGCCTAGTGGCTTTTGGCAGAAATGCATCCGGACCCCACAGTATGTCAGTGTTGCCGGGCCACCCCAGAGGGGAAGGGTACTGTCCCTCCGCCTGCTCCTACTGGGCGGCTCAGTGGCCGCCATCCTCCAGGGGCCACTGGACAGTCAGGTTTGGGCCTTCAGTGACGAGACACGCAGAGCCTCACGGGATGGGGGTGGAGCTGGCCCTTTCCACCTCATCCCAATGAGACCCTGAGTTGCTGCCCACAAACGGCCTTTCTGGCTCCTGACAAAGCTGCTTAATGGCCATAATCCCAGAGACTCAGGAACAAATCTCAGAACCCAGCAGGTTTTGGTAGAAATCCCTCCAGATTTGTTAAAATTTCAGAATTTCAAAATTGCACGGCCACTACTGCAGCCACCTGACATCATATGTTATTCATAACCAGCAATAGAAAACAAATTGTCTCCTGTTGCCTTTTCAGCAGATCTGAGTGTTGGGGTAAAATCCCAAATAAGAATGGTGGGTCTGGTGTCAAAATACTGAATGTGATCAAAGTACAGAGAGAGTAATGTGGAAATCATCTGCCCCACAGATAGGGGGAGAGTGTGGGATGGGGGTATCCTGGGATTTTGGTGGTAGAGAATGGGCATTGGTGAAGGTACGGGTGTTTCATTGTATGACTGAGACTTAAAAGCTTTGTAACTGCTCTCACAGTGATTCAATAAATAAAATTATAAAAAAAAAAACAAAAAACAAAAAAAAACCACCTCTCTGCTGCTGGGGCCAGAGAGATGCCACAGGGCTTTGGACACTTGCCTTGCAAACAGCCAACCCTGGTTGGATTTCCAGCACCACACACGGGTCCTTGAGCACTGCCAGGATTGAGCCTCGAGCAGAGTCGAGTCAGCCCTGAACATGGCTGGGTTTGGTCTCCCATGGGTGTGGTTCCCCAGTTCACCCCGGGAAACATCTAAGCTGCTCTACTGTATCTGCCCAAGACCAGTCACTCTGCTTTCAAGGGGGAGAAACAGAACAGGCGCTGATCCGGGTTCAATTCCTGGCATCCCATATGGTCCCCTGAAGACTGCCAGGAGTGTCAGAATAGGAGTGCATGCGTGCGTGCGTGCATGTGTGTGTGTGTGTGTGTGTGTGTGTGTGTGTGTGTGTGTGTGTGTGTGTGTGTTCAATTCCTGGCATCCCACATGGTCCCCTGAAGACTGCCAGGAATGTCAGAACAGGAGTGTGTGTGTGTGTGTGTGTGTGTGTGTGTGTGTGTTCTCATACAGTTTGCCACAGTGGGCACTCAGGCTGTCTGCTGGAATTCTTTCAGGACACCTCAAGTGCAAGAGTTCGGGCACTGCCCTGGGGCTCGCCAGTCTCTTCTAAGGTGAGAAGTCCCTCAGAGATGCTCTCCTTTTTCTGGATTCTTGCCGCATCCAAAGCAAATGAGGTGCGCAGAGCTGTCTAAGACGCCCCTTGTTAGTTCTGTTAATCAATCTGTTTGCACTTTTCGGGCTGGGGGGGAGGGGGGCAGGAGAGTGTCACTCTGATCTGCGCCCCTCTCCCACAGAAGAGATGTAAACAGGATTCAGCTCTGTCTGGGAGATGTTTTCCTTCTGGGAAGGCTTGAACCCTCCCCAGACCGAGCCCCACTCCTCCTCAACACGGCCCTCGGGCCGCCGAATAAGCAGCATCCAAACCTTATCCATCATCAGCTGGGCAGAGGGGAGCACGTTATCCAAGGCCTCGGTTGAGTTCAGCCAAGGGTGGTCCAGCACCCCCTCGATAGTCAGTCTTTCCTCCGGCTTGACCTTCAAAAGCCTGTGGCGGGAAAGGCCAGAGGGTGGGGTTACAAACTGGCCTCTCAGGGGCGCCCAGGCATCTGTCTCTAACGCTCTCTTCAGCCTCAGCCTTTCGATGGCTCCCCCACCCCAAGCCGGGGCCTCCATCTGCAAGGCAGGGGTGCCGTTCGAGACCCTGGCCACCTGCTAGGGGGCCTGAATCCCAAGGCGGTCTGTCCACCACGACACGGACAAACAGCACAAAAAGACTTTATATTCCAGTGATGCTTCACACTAAGACCTCCTTTGAATAAGGCAGTCCTGAGGTCGAAGCTCTGTATTAATTTTTTTTAAGTAAAAGAAAATTAGTATCTGATCATTGTATAATTGAAACCAAAGCACAAAAAATTGTAAATCTACAACTTTAAAAAAAATAAAATAAAATAAAGGGGAAAAAAAAAAAAAAGAAAATTAAATTTTTTTTTTATTTGGAGGGTTTTTGAAAGTGTGGAGGGGGAGAGAGAGAGAGAACACGCTCAAAAAAAAAAAAAAAAAAAAGAGAACGCGGGCTACTCGAAGCTCTCATTTGGCAACGAGGAGCTAAAAAATTAGCTGAGGGGCTCATGCAGCTCTGAAAATCTAGGTTGAAACTTATGGTAAAACCCGGGGGCGGGCATTTGCCTTGCACACGGCCAAGCAGGGCTCCACCCCCGCGTCCCAGCTGGTCTCCTGAGCTGAGAGAGCACCACTGCTCTACCTGCCTGTGCCAGCCACCACCGCGTCTCCCCGCTCACTACCAGCACCTCCTTCCAAAGCCCGTCAGGGCAGCGTGCCTACTCGCCCTTTCCGGTTCTGAAGGACTGTTCGGAAAAGCATCCCAAGGCTCCAAGAAGGTAACCGATGGCACTCAGGGGACAGAAAACACCTTCCACACAACCCAGACCCACATAAGGAGATGCAAGTTTTGGCTGAGTGGCTAGAAAAGAGCATGGAAGACAAATGAGGGTGTCATCACTGCCTCCACTTTCCCAAGTTTTGATCCTCACAATCTTCTTTGTTCCTCACAAATTTTGGAAACCAGTTCCTTTATAAAACAAATAAAAATTATATATATATATATATATATATATATATATATATCACGGTCACGGTCCTCCCGTTGTTCATCGATTTGCTCGAGCGGGCCCAGTAACGTCTCCATTGGAGACTTTGTTGTTACTGTGTCTGGCATATCGAATACGTCACGGGGAGCTTGCCAGGCTCTGCCGTGCGGGCGAGATACTCTCGGTAGCTGGCCGGGCTCTCCGAGAGGGGCGGAGGAATCGAACTCGGGTCGGCCATGTTGGCTGTGTGCAAGGCAAACGCCCTACCGCTGTGCTATCGCTCCAGTCCATATATATATGTTTAGGCTTTTGTGTGTCACACCCAGCGATGCTCAGGGTTTACTCCTAACTCTGCACTCAGGAATCACTCCTGGCAGTCTTCAGGGGTCCGTATGGGATGCCGGAAATTGAACCCGGGTCAGCTGGATGCAAGGCAAATGCCCTCCCCACTGTACCATTGCTCTGGGCCCACCACTTCCTTTTTCACTTAAGCAGACCCCTCAACCTCAATACAGGCTCACTTTTGAAACACAGTAACCTCCAGAGAGATCACTGTACTATCAGGAGATGCTTTCCAAATACTGCTCCTTTAATGATAATTTTCATTCCATTAGAAGTGGAAAAAGTTAAACTGGAGCAGGAGGAAGTGCTCGGTGAGTCGTGGAAACACCAGCACAGTGCACAAGTCCTTGGCAGCCAAGCCTTCCACACGGGAGGGGAGAAAAAGCAGAAATTCCTCTAATGAAGGTCAGATTTCCTACCCAGGCCCGCTCGCTGTGGGCTGATGACGGAGCTGGGAAGGCTGGAGCAGGCCCGAACCCGCACTTTCACACGCTGCCAGGATGGCCATCTCAGCACCCAGCTCCTCTCAGAGTCGGACAAACCCCGAGGGACTGGCCACCAGGTGAGGGCATGCAGTGCAACGGCTCCTGCATGGACCTGGGTTCCCACTCCAGAAACACTCTAAGAACTAAACAAGAAGCAAAGCCCCCAGGCTCAACCCCTGCACCCCGCCTGGGCCCCCGGGCTCACCAGAAGTGATCTGCTGAGCATAAAGCTAGGAGTAAACTGAGGCCCACTGGGTGTGACCCAGAAAAGGGAGGGGGAAAAAAGGAATCCAAGCCCCATTTTACTGAGGCGGACACTGACTCCCACCACGCCGGCGAGGGTGAGGCTCCGAAGCTGTCCCGCCGGGTGCTCACCTCCTCACCACGTCCTTGGCCATCTCCGAGATCTGGCTCCACTCCTCCTCCGGGAACTCGAAACTGCCCGTCATGATCTTCCTCCGCATGTCCTTCGGGATGGTCCGGCTGTGGTGTTTGGAGTAGAAGGGTGGGTACCCGCACAGCATCACGTAGATGATCACACCCAGTGACCACAGGTCACAGCTCTGGAAGGAAAGGGCCACGTCACTCTGAGCTGTGACAGTCCTGACACAAGGCCCGGGGCTGGCCCCCAACAGACCCCAAGAGTCACGCAGTGGACAATGCAGAGGCTCCACACGTGCACGGGAATGGGCTTTCCTCTCCGTCTTTTTATATGCCCCCAATTCCATACATACATACATACATGTATACACATATCATAGACAAGTCTACTGAGAGATATAAAAAAATATAAATAGCAGCACCCAAGGCCACTCTGAGGCTCAAGAGTCATTTGGATTCGTACTGATGAAGCTGAAGCTCTTATCTGACCTCTGGCTGTGGGTGGAGAATACTTTCTTCCCAGCCACAGAAATAACGGGATGTGAGGCCACTGGCTAGGACATGTGCCGTCAAGCCGGGCGGACCAGGACGCAAGAACGGAGCAAGTCAGACAGGCAGGCTGAACCCAGAGAAACAGCACCAGCAGCTCCGAAGGCCCAGCCAGAGTGTTTCGCAGAGATGCAGGAGAGGCATGTAAGCGTTCCTGTCCACAGTGCCCCCTGCAAGGCCAGACCCCATTCCTGGGGAACATACTCTGGAATGAAGACGACCCCAAATACTGCTTGTCAAAGGCGTGATTAATAAAGGAGCCCCATTTAGTCAAATCCACCCTCCCCGCCTCAGAAACTGATAGTTCTAGTGTCTCCTGCAGGCACCCAAAGACCTGCCCTGGCTCCCGGCACCTCGCCAGCTGCGCTCGCCCTGAGGGAGGTCTGGATGTTCCCGTGTTTGACATTACACTCACAGACACCCGCAGACAACAATTCGTGCTGTGAGACTCAAAGTGCTGAACTCAAAGCCCACCAGGGGAAGAGGAACCTTAACAAGGGGGCAAGCAGGGACTGGAGTGATCAGCAGGACAGCGGGAAGGGCGTGGTCTTGCATACACCTGACCCGGGTTCAATTCCCTGCACACCAGAAAGTTCCTAGAGCCCCGCCAGGAGTGACCCCGGATTGCAGGACCAGGAGTAAGTCCTGAGCACCTCTGGGTATGGCCCCCAAATGAAAACAAAACAGAAAGAAAGGCTGGGGGAGGAGGGTGGGCAAAGAGACAGGGCGGGATTGGGGCACCTGCTTTGCATGTGGGTTCTTGGGGTCCCCACATATGGTTCCACAAGCACCATCAGGGTCACTTCTGAACACAGAGCCGAGAATAGTCACCAGGAAGGGTGTGGCTCACACTGGGGCCTTTCTCCATGCCTCAAACAGGGCTAGGAAGATGGAGCAGCAGGGCTGAAGCACGCATATTTTGCACGTAAGAGCCCCAATTTCAATCCTGGGCATCACAAGGACCCACAAAAAGTTCCAGGAGCCATTTCACACACAAGGTGCTGTACTCAAAGCCCAATATGCTCTCTCTCGCGCGCACACACATACACACACATAGGAAACCATCACTTAGCATGTAAGGAAAGCAATTTTAAAGAGATTGTCTCAATGCCTCTTTTGCAGACCACAACACCCAGAAGGAGAGAGAGAACAAAAGGGAATGCCCTGCCACAGAGGCGGGGTGGGATGAGAGGGATGGGTGTGGGAGGGATACTGGGATCCATGGTGGTGGATAATGGGCACTCGTGGAGGGATGGGTATTCGATCATTGTATAATCGAAACCCAAGCACAAAAATTTGTAAATCTACAACTGTATCTCATGGTGTTTCACTAATAAAAATTAATAAAAATTTTTTTTAAAAAAAGAGATTGTAAAATAATTTTTAAAAAATTGTAAAAAAGTTAAAAAAAAATTCACTCACCTACCAAGGACAGCGGGCGTAGCAGTTACTTTTACGAGCAGCTAGAGCTGCCGGCCCGCACTTGCCCACGTTCTCCTGAGCACCCAGGAGCAATCCCAGTCTCCACACAGTCTGGGAGCCGCCCCTCGACACCACAGGCTGGGCCCCAAACCAAAACTAAAGGGCAAGTCTAGGCGGCCTGACAAACAGCATGCTGCCGAACAGAGCGCACCTCTGGGCCCACAGCCCCTTTTCCTAGAAAAGGAAATGTATTTTCAAACATGGTGGGTCTGGTGTCAAAATATCGAATGCAATCAAAGTAGAGAGAGAGTAATGTGGAAATCATCTGCCCCACAGGTAGGGGGAGGGTTTGGTATGGGGGGATACTGGGGCTTTTGGGGGTGGAGAATGGGCACTGGTGAAGGTACGGGTGTTTCATTGTATGACTGAGACTTAAACCCGAAAGCTTTGTAACTACTCTCACGGTGATCCAATAAATAAAATTATAAAAAATGGAAAAAAAAGGTAAGATGGAGTTCATGCCCAATTCAATCAGCTAATCAGTGGCTGAATAAATAGCAGTACTCCTATATAGCACTGTCCTCCCGTTGTTCATCAATTTGCTCGAGCGGGCCCAGTAATGTCTCCATTGTGAGACTTGTTGTTACTGTGTTTGGCATATCAAATATGTCATGGGTAGCTTGCCAGGCTTCGCTGTGCGGGTAAGATACTCTCGGTAGCTTGCCGGGCTCTCCAAGTGTGGTGGAGGAATCGAACTCAGGTCGGCCAAGTTGGCTGCATGCAAGGCAAACGCCCTACCACTGTGCTATCACTCCTATATATAAAAAAAAGAAAGAAAAGAAAATGTATTTTCAAAGGGGGTCAGGCAAATGTACCTCAGCGACACAGCATATGCCTTACATATGAGAGGCTCTGGGTTTAATTTCCAGCACTACCAAAAAGAATTCAATTACATTAACATATTCATTTGTAAAAATGCAATCACATCTTATGCAATGTACAGGAGAAGCAAGGAGTGTTCACACAGTCCCGCTGTATCCAGAGTGCTACACACACCCATATACTATCTACAGTGTGTTTCCCCACTTTCCTTACTGGGGAGTCACACGGAGCTGTGCCCCGAGGCCTGGGGGCCATGGGGTCTCAGGCCAGACCTTGCAGTGTTGAGTGTCACACGGTGCAGGGCTTCTAACTTACAGTCTCTCCGTGCCAGGACTGTGCTCTACCCTTTTGAGTCATATTTCCAGTCCCTGAAGTGTAGTTTTATGAGTTGCAACGCTAATTAGTTTAGAATCACTAAATAACAGGGGGAGAAAAGACATAAAAAAAGAAATAGTAAGGACTAGAGCGACACTATAGCAGGTAGGGCACTGGCCTGGCACTTGGCTGACCCAGGTTCGATCCCCAGCACCCCGTATGGTCTCCCGAGCACCACCAGCAGTGTTCCCGGACTGCTGAGCTAGGAGTGACTCCTGAGCACCACCAGGTGTGCATCCCATCCAGAAACAAGGGAAGGGAAGGGGAGGGAAGGGGAGGGGAAGAGGGAAGGGGAGGAAGACGTCATGATGGCGGGTCCTGAGGTCTCTGCTGGTGCAGGCTCCTGAGGGACAGAGCAGTCTGGGTGCTGGGGTCGGGGAAGAGGAACTGGAACCCTCTGGAGTGGGTTCAGTAGCTGGCCCACAGCCTCTCTGCCACTCTGGACCCCCTCTCTTGGCATTTATACCCTGATGCAGCCTGCAGCTGCCCAGCAGCACCGTTCCTCCCCTTAGCTACTCAGAGCTTTGGGACCCTCAGACCCTGCTGCAAAAGCCAAATAAATATGCAAAACCTAAACTAGAAAGACGCTTTTTGCATAGTTACTGCATAGTTCAGAGTTCATCAGACAGGAATCTGCCTGCAGCCTTTGAGAATGAATCAGCCCCATTCCCGGCAGGCCCCCAAAGGCTCGCAGGAGCGGAGGGGCCTCTCCTACCTTGTTGTAGGTGTAGGGTGTTGGTGAGGTAGGTATGATGCCAGACTTCTCCTTCTGATGCCTTCTCTGCGCCTCCAGTACCTGAGGGTCAGAACAAAGGGAACGATTTGCTGGAGGTCACACGAACGCCCCCCGACACGAAGAGACAGAGTACTGAGGGCTGCCTTTCCCTCTGAGACGAGCTGATGCTCCTACTTGTGCTACAGAACAGAAGGGAGCCGAGGAGACAGCAGCCTGGGGGTGCAGAGACAGCCAATGCTCACCTGAGGTGCTACATAATAAGGGGTGAATTGGGGCGTCATCAAGTCACCTTGGTCAATTTTGGCAAACCCGAAGTCACACAACTTCACCGGGGCATCCTAAAGGAAAACCAACGAGAGTGATTTCTCCAGAGTTCTCAGTAGGCATTAAAGGAAAACCCAGGGGCAGCCTCCCTTGCGGTCTGGAGACAATGACTCATGTGGCACCACTGGAGTGGCCTCAGGAACTAGGCTCAGCAGTTTGGGCTGGAGTGACAGCACAGTGGGTAGGGCATTTGCCTTGCCCGCAGCTAATCTGGGCTCGATTCCTGGCACCCCATTTGGTCCCTCAAGCACAAAGCCAGGAGTAAGCCCTACGTACCACCAGGTGTGGCCCAAAAAACGGTAACAACAACCCCCCCCCCCAATTACATCCAGATGATTGGTAAAAATACCGAAATCCAAATTAATCAAATGTCCCCTGACTCTTATCTCTTGATCATCATGACTCATCACTGTGGGATGCTGCTTTGCTCCAGCAGAGGCCGCAGAGCAACTCACTCGGTGGACACGGAGCACATGGCAGCGGTCGGGACCAAAGAGAAGAAACCCCTCACCCAGCTTTACCGCAAACACTACCATCACGGTTCATATTCATATGTAACATCGCTTAAATTCCTGTCCCTTCCCAAAGGAAAGTGATGTCCCCAAACATCCAAAATCTTAGGTCCAATAAATAGGTATGAGTATCCAGGACGAACACCACCAGGCCTATGGCCCAATTCCACTGAGCTCCCGGCAAGCGACGCGAGGAACAGAAGCCGTCTGAGGCTCTGGCCTGAAGCCTCGTGTGGGTCAGGACTCACACGAGCGCTCCTGAAAGAACTTCAGAGTGGCAGTTCGAAATGAGATACGAGTTTCTTACCAAAGAGTTATCCTTGAAGAGCAGATTTTCAGGCTTGAGGTCTCTGTGTGCAATGTTTAACAAGTGACAGTGCTGTAGAGCCAAAGCTATCTGCAAAAGGACATAAGCGAGCAACCATGTCTCAGAAAAGGGAACTCGAAGGCGCCGACTCTATTCTATTGTACTGTTCCCACTGTATTGAGACACCATGGTTTACAAAGCCGCTCATGATGATTCGCTACCCGCATTCAACATTCTAACCCCAGTATCCCACCACCACTGTCTCCGTTTCCCAAACACCCTTCAAGTCTGCCCCCATCACAGGCCCGTAATATTTATTTTATATTGCTATTACCACCAAATGGCTAACAGAATGCTCAAAAAAACTCCTTCAGAAAGAGGAAATTTGTGCAAATTGTATCTCACCATGGGGACATTAAGTCCCTGTCCGAGGGTTTACTGAGCTGTTGCTGCTGGTTGAGCGTTCTGTGTTAGTGTTTCTGTTAGTCGCGCTTAGACAGCTTCTATGTTACACTCCCATTCAATCTGATGTGCTCCTACTGGATGTTAATACTGTAGAGTTTGGAGATGTCCAGAAAACCCAGAATATTTAACTGGAAAATAGCCCTAGTTTAAAGCCTGCAGGATACTGAAAACTGATCCTTAAGTCAACTAAGGCTGTGGTGGGTTTGCATCTGGCATGTACTTCGCATTGGCTTAGCCTGCTCAGTGATCTCTCTGGCCCTTGGTTTTCAATTTTAAAGAGAAATTAAGACTTTAGCTATCAAGACGTAGAAAGAAGAGGTGAAAATACTTATCTGCGATCTGTTTTATATTACACACAATGGAAAATATGCCAGAAAGTCCATCCCTCGTCGGGATAGACTGAGGTGAGATCCTGGACAAAATGGGGAACGAGCCATTTGTTCGAGCCCCAGGAGAGAGTGCTGCGTCAGCACCACAGCCCCAGAGGGGAACAACGGGGGGGGGGGGGGGGGCAGCTTTCAGCTCTGCCTTCAGAAAAAAGCCAAAAGCAATGAAGGGCACCTCTGCACCCGCTGTCCTGGTTTTCCTCCACCAGTTGGAAACGTTGCTGTTTAGGTCGGCTTGAAAGTTATTTCGGGAGGGAGGAGACAGGAGGGCCACACCTGGCTGCGCTCAGGAATCATTCCCGGTGGGCTCGGAGGATTGAACCCAGGTTGGCATGTGCGAGGCAAGTGCCCTACACACGGTACTATTGCTTTGGCCAAAGGGTTTGTTTTTAGATTCTCAGTGCATCCTTTAGTTTTAATATTTGAAAAAACTACAAGAAGTCATTTAAAAGTTAAAAAAGGCCCCTCCCGTTGATCGTCGATTTGCTCGAGCGGGCCCAGTAACGTCTCCATTGGAGACTTTGTTGTTACTGTGTCTGGCATATCGAATACTCTCGGTAGCTTGCCGGGCTCTCCGAGAGGGGCGGAGGAATCGAACTCGGGTCGGCCATGTTGGCCGCTTGTAAGGCGAACGCCCTACCCGCTGTGCTATCGCTCCAGCCCAAAAGTTAAAAAACAAAACAAAAACAAAACACCTAAACACTAAGTTCTATCTCTTCTTTAGCTCTTGGTGTGGAATTGTCTTGGCATTCCAAATCTCAAAAAATGCTAAAAACTCAAGGAAAATTCCTTCCCACTTTCCTTCGAGAGGGGTGTGTGTGTGTGTGTGTGTGTGTGTGTGTGTGTGTGTGTGTGTGTGTGTGTGTGTGTGTCTGTGTCCCACCTTGGCCTCAAGGAGTGGGTAAGGAGGGACTGGGACCATACCTAGTGGCTCTGGGCAGGGGCTACTCCGAGATTAAGAACAAAAGAATAACCCAGGGTCAGAGAGATAGTTTAGCAGTTAAGGCACTTTCCTTGCACGCAGCTAACCTGGGTTTGATCCCCAGCACCACATGGTTCCCTGAGCCCTGCCAGGAGTGATTCTTGAGCACAGACCCAGGTGTGAGCCCTGGGCACCACTGGGTATGGCCTCCAAACAAAAAGAATCAATTGAATTATGCTTCCTGTTTGCCTTTCCTGAACACAGGCTCTGTCACATAAATTATTTATCAGGTGATAAAATGTAAGGTCAAAATGGAGAAAACAGAAACAGAAAATGCTCAGAATTATAAAAACCTCAGCATACGAAAATCTTCAGAAATATGAGAATTGTAACTCATAGAGTAACTTAGATACAGTGATTCTAAAACATATTTTACACCAATCTTTCAGGTGATACCGGCAGCATTTTATCTCAAAGCCCAAGAACAGTTCTTGGAAGTGATTAAGTCTAAAGGTATCTGCAGTCCACAAGGGGATCCGGAACGAGGTTCCCTTTCTTCGGGAATTTACTTGAGTCTTACAATGGGCGAACAACTGACAGGGAAAAGGTCGGTCCACAACCCCCCCCACCCCCGCCCAGGCGTTAAAAGGAGTCATTTCTCCTGTTAGCATCTTTTCTGATCACATAACAAAGCAGGCAATGAGAGATCAAATAGAACTTTTCTTCAAGCTTTCTTTTATTCCCCACCCATGAAATTGTGCTCGTTAACCAACACAGTTGGCAGTTTGGCTGGTACCCGGGGTAACTTGCCTGCTTTGTTACTTGGCTGGCTTGCTTCTCTGTAAAGTGCCGGTGCTGGCTGATTCTGTGAAATAGCTCTCCCCCTTCCATCATCTCCATTACAATTAAGAGTCGAGCCCTGTTTGAAAGCATTTGATTTGGTAAGTTTAAAAAAAAAACTGGAAACATTAAGTAGCTAACCTAGAGATACCTGCACCCGTCTAGCCCTGCACAGCCTCTGAGAGCTGAAGGCCCAGTCGCTGCCCAGGGGGCACGCCGGACAAAGAATAGCCATCACCTAAGGCTTCCCACGACACTAAAACACTTCACCCTGAAGACAAGACAATGATCCCTTCTTTAGAAGACTCCATACTTGACTTACTAGTGCTCTTCGAAGTGCTGTGTTTCACATTTGTCTTGAGTACTGCGCCTGAGCAGTCTGCCCCTACAGAGGGGGCATGTGTGCTGGGCTGTCCCAGTCATTCATTCTCCTGCCCGGGACGTATGTCTCTCCACTCCCTGCCTCATTCAACTTAAGTTTTCTATGTGGTCCACAAAATGCCCAGCAAGAACTGGAGAGGGTTACAGTTTCTAAGAGAAATACTTCTCAAGTTCTAAAAAAAAAAATCTAAATTTGGTATCCATCTTTGATATAAACGTTTCCAACTTCCATCCAAATGCTTTCACCAACAGAGAAGCTCCCAGAAATAATCGTCTATTTCCCATTGTTTTCACAAATCCCACTTCTTTCCCCACCAAGGAGACGGCAGTTCCTTCAGGTCCTCACCCCCACATAGCTCTACGACATGTCACCTCCCCAGCCGTAGCTAGCAACAGTTTCTCAGTGCCTCTCTTGGGGTCACCACGCCACTATGACTAAAGGTTCACACTCAGTATCCCCAAATGTATTCAAATGTCACCAGTGGGCTTGCTAAGCATTTTCTGTTCGGGGGCCACATCCAGCGGTGCTTAGCTCTTGCCGGCTCTGTGCCGTGGTGCTGGGGATCACGCTGGGGTTGGCGGCATGCAAGGCATTATCTCCCGTACTATTCTCCAGCCTGATTTCTTCCTTTAAAAGGAATGTCAGGGCCAGAGTGATTGTACAGTGTGTAGGGTACTTGCCTTGCATGCAGTCAACCGGGGTTCAATCCCAAGGCACCCCTAGGGTTCCCCCAAGCACTGTCAGGAGTAAGCCCTGAGTGTGGAGCCTGGAGTACGGCTGAGCATCGCCAGGTGTGGCCCAAAACAAACAAACAAAAGCTTAAGGAACGCCAGACTAGACAATGCGGGCTCCTTGCCACAACCGTCTCTCGGACTCAGCCCATACTCGGTCTCCTTTCACTGACCTGAAACAGAAAATGTTTAATTCCACTTTAAGTGCTTTTTAATAAACAGGAAAGAGTAATCACGTAGCACGAGGGCTAGAAGCATAAGCGGGCACTGCTGAGCTAGACTGGCATGAATGGCCGTACTGTTGAGGTCGGGTGGTGGCTCCCTGGGGGTTCATTACATAATTCTGCTTGCTTTGACCAACGTCTGGAATTTTCCAAAATAAAAAGGAAAGAAAATGGAGAAAGCAGGTAGGATGGGAGATAAAGAAAAGGAGGGAGAGAGGGGGAGAAAAGGGAGACAGGAGAGGCAGGAGGCAATGTCCACTCTCTATTAGCCCACATATGGAGAAAGGGAAGGTGACAATGACTCTGAGTGGCCTTACCTGGGGCTGGACTCATGAGGAAACTGTACACTGTTAGCAAACACTTCAATAATCTGAACAATATTTGGATGTGTGGCGCACATCATGTGCAGACGTACCTTAAAAGAACAGAGGACATGTTTCTGCATAGAGAATGTCAGAGTCTCCCAAACTCTGACCACACTAGGTCAAAGGATCTGTTACAATAAACTCTATCATCTGGTATAAAGTTTTTTAAAAAGTCTCGACAATTTTACTTAATACTCTTTTTATGAATAAAACCTCTCCAAAAGATTTACTTTGCATTCTTATAGTGAATGAAAAAAATGTATCATTTATTTTTGCTTCAGAAATTCATTTCTCTTTGAAAAAGAATAGTTTTCCTTGTGTTATCACCATAATCAGGTAACTTGAAACAAATGCATATTCTGAGTCTCCCCACCCCCCCTCTCTTTCATGCACTCTCTCTCACTTGCTCTCTCTCCACTCCCCTCTCCTCTCTCTCTCTCTCTCCCCTCTCCCCCTTTCTTTTGCTTTTTGGGGTCACATCCAGTGATTCTCAGGGGTTATTCCTGGTTCTGCATTCCTGGTGGAGCTGGAGGGACCATATGGGACACCGGAGATTGAACACAGGCGGGCTGTGTGTGAGGCCAACGCCCTCCCCACTGTACCATCTCTCCAGCCCTCATGCACACTTTCAAGGCACTGCGCACTAGCTCCTGCCCTGCACTCTTGTCTATGGCCCTCCAGGACCTTTTGAAACAAAGCTGAATATTTCAAGGTTCAGAATACTTCAAAATACAGAATCAAAGCTGAGTATTTCAAGGTACAGAATTAACTGAAAAAGAATAGGAAATGGTGAAAGTAACCAAGATTCCACTACACAAGGTAGATGGAGAATAATAAACAGGAAAGAGTCATATATAACGCCTTATATATAACGCCAACATGAGCAAGAAAGAGTACGAGCATGAATATCCTTGTGTGCCTCTGGTCGTCTCCAGGAAGCTGCCTTCTTGTGAAAAGAGGCATTCACGGGCACTTCCAATACTCAAGCAGCGTGGGCAATTAAAGGTCATACCTCATTTCTAGCTTTTGGACGATCAAAAAGAATTTTCAGTGCAAATCGCTCTTGGGTAGATTTCTTCACACAGACTCTAGAATTGGGGGGGAAAATTCCATCAGAAATCACCTACGTCACAGTAAAGATGGATTTAAAAGTTTTTCCTTTCAGCAATGAACCTCTAACCAAAAGCAGATCCAGGCCTGAAGGAATAGTGCCTGTCTGGCAACCCTGTAAGCCTATGGTGACGAGTTCAAACCCCTGGTGCCCCATCTGAGCCTAGGGAAATCCTGGCAGCTCTGTGGTTTGTGATTCTCCAGGCCACAAAGACAAACAATTAGGAATAAGGCGAAAGGAGGGAGGAGAACAATATGGCAGAGAAGCAGGTTCACAGCTCCGCTGCCTCAGCCCAGGGAAAGGAACTCAACACCGGACACACACAGAAGGCATGTCACCTGTGCTGGCTGCAGGTAACTGAGGGACTCCGCAGCCTTAACAGCTCTGACTGCTCGGGGCTGTGTGATCAAGACACTTAGAAATATTTCTAAGCCAGCGAACTTCTCAAGCACGGAGCAGAAGCCCAGCATGCACAAGGCCCATCAATCCCTAGATCCACACCCCCGGCACAGGTGTGGCTCTGATGCCCCCAAATTCCACTGGGCCCGAGCAAAAGCGCATCACCAAACACACTGGCAGGCCGCTGGGGCCTGCCCCCCACAGACATGTGCCGTATACGCAGACGAAGGTCCCGGATACGTGGGCCCTTCTGGGGCAAGTCTGCCCTAGCGTCGTGGGATCTTACCTAACTGGACCACTGATTCCAGCTCCCAGCTTCTGAGTCCAGTTGATATTGTATTCCTCTAAAATGGAAGTTTCCTGTTCAAACAGAAGGAGACGGAAGAGTGTAATTTGTGTACGGTAAGATACTGCTGGGCCGAGCGCTCAACACCTCATCTTCTGAGAGAATCTGCTAGCAGTCTGGGCTACGGAGAACGCGGTGTCATTAGGCACTTCTGTCTGAATGACCTAGGCATTCCTTTTGGGCCTCATCCAGCTGTGCTCAGGGCACACTCCTGGCTCTGTGCTCAGGGATCACTCCTGGAAGGCTCTGGACACCAGGGATGGAACCTGGGTCAGCTGCGTGCCAGTCTTAGGCCCTACCTGCTGTCTCCAGCTCACAGGCATTTTTTTTTAGACAAGCAAAAACAAAAACTTCAAGATGAAAAGAATTGCAGTTCATCTATAAGGTTCATTTTAGTAGCACTATAGCACTGTCATCCTGTTGTTCATCGATTTGCTAGAGCGGGCACTAGTAATGTCTCCAGTAATGTCTCCATTGTGAGACCTGTTATTACTGTTTTGGCATGTCGAATACATCATGGGTAGCTTGCCAGGCTTTGCCATGAGGGTGGAATACTCTCGGTAGCTTGCCAGGCTCTCCGAGCAGGGTGGAGGAATTGAACCCGGGTCCTCCCAGGTAGGCCATGTGCAAGGCAAACTCCCTACCCACTGTGCTATCGCTCCAGCCCTCATTTTAGTAGAAATTAAAAAATATATATATATATATATATTGAGCAAAGAGGAAGATTTTGGGGCACATCCAGCAGAACATACTCCTGGCTCTGTGCTCAGGGATTACTCCTGGCAGGTTTGGGAGAACATCACGGGTGTTGGGGATCGAACCTGGGTCAGTCACATCTAATGCAGGCCCCTCCCCCCTGCTGTCCTCTCTCTGTTGGCCCCCCTTAGTCAATTCTTGACACTGTCATCATGAAGTGAATGCCCAGTGTCTAAAACAGCAAACTAATACCCAATGATGGACACTGATTTGGGAAGAATTAGAACAACTCCCCTCTGAAAACCTGTACAGCGGGCTCAGGGGTTTCGCAAGGTCACCCAGTGAAGTACGAACAGTGATAAAATCTATGCTTCTGGCCCTTTAAACACCACAATAGAGGCACAAAAGGGAACAATGGGGCACCCAGCATGAAGATCAGGGACCAGTCAGTAAAGTTCTGGGCTCTTACTCCTTTCAACATGCTTAAAACAATTCCAGAGTTTGCGCTTTTCCAGTCAATCTGCTTCATATTCCCACTCTCTAGCTTGCTGAACTTAGAAGTATCTGAGAAGGGGCCTCGGAGCAATAGTCCAGCAGGGAGGGCACTTGGGTTCGATCCCCAGTATCCCATATCGTCCCCTGGGCACAGCCAGGAGTGATTCCTGAGCAGAGAGCCAGGAGGAACCCCTGAGCATGGCCTGGTGTCACCCAAAACCAAAGCAACAAAACAGTATCTGAGAAGATAGACAAGACGAGAAAGTTGGAATTTTGTGTCTCAGCCTCCTACCTTCCTAACGAAAACAGACATTCACAGAACAGAGATATGTTCTTTTGTTCCTGGGATGTGCTTGTAACCCAAGAGCAGGCATTTGGCCAGAGATGGTGCGCATCCCCTGGAGGGCGGCCGGACAGTGCAGCGCACACGAGGTGGTGACTGCGGTCTGGGCTCGGCTCTGCAGAGAGGTGCTAGCAGGCCCTCCACAGCGCGGGTGTCTGAGCCCCATCGCTCACAACCTTCCTAAGTTCTTGCACCTTTGCTTCTGGTCGATAAGCACCAGTGGGGAGTAGTAACCAGTCTACGCGAAGACGGCAGGTTCCTCAGACTGTCACCACCAAGGGCAAGCATGGCAAATGAAAACCCTGCACTGGCAATCAGACTACTCCAATGGTAAGCAGCGCCAGAGAAACACACACGTCATCTTAAGTAATAAGACTATATGTATACAGAATGAAGGAACTCACATATTCTTCCAGTTGAGCTCATTTGTACAACAACCCAAACAGGCAAACAATCTATCTGTGCTTATTTGTAAATATTTACAAAAAATAGTAAACTGTATGTTTATGTGTAAATTAAGTAGTGATTAGAATTTACTGGATTGGAAAAATTCAACAACTATATTACAATCATGTAACAATATCGAAATATTTTGAACAGTTTAAATATACACACTATGTCAAATTTTTCTAATAAAATTTAAAAATCTGGCTATATGCTATAAGAGAAACACTTGGGTTCAGAGATGCAGATGGGTGAGAAAGGAATGGGCTCTGGGCAGGAGGCACAGTACAGCTGGTCCAGAGTTTGTCTTGCACTTGGCTAACTCAGGTTCAATCCCCAGCACCCAAGATGGTACCCTGAGCCCTGCCACAAGTGATCCGAGCCCTGTCACGAGTGATCCCTGAGCGCAGAGTCAGGAGTAATCCCTGAGCACCTGGGCATGGTCCAAAACAAAAGAATTTAAATTTTAAAAATTAAATTAAAAAGAAAAGTAATGGGCTGGAGCAATAGCACAGCGGGTAGGGTGTTTGCCTTCCATGTGGCCGACCTGGGTTCAATTCCCAGCATCCCATATGGTCCCCTGAGCACCGCCAGGAGTGATTCCTGAGTGCATGAACCAGAAGTAACTCCTGTGTTTCGCTGGGTGTGACCCAAAAAAACAAATAAAAAAAAAGTAATGGATTTCTGGTCAGGGATGTGGCTAAAAACAAAACAGTAAAAAGAAAAAGTTGAATGGTGGCTGCCACAGGCTAGGCAGGCTGGGTGCCACTGCTGTGAGTACAGGGTCTCTGAAAATTGTCATCACAAGGGATGTGGAGATGGCTGCACATTATCAATATAAATCATGTATTTAACTATTGAACCGTACTCTGGTTTGTTTTGGGCCCACACTCAAGAATGCTCACAGCTTACTCCTGGTGGGCTGGAGGGACTATATGGGGTGCCAGGGATCGAACCCAGGCCAGACGTATTTAAGGCAGATACCCTCACGCTGTACTATCACTCCAGCCCAGAACTATGCTTTTTAAATTATTAAGATGGTATAACTCGTTTTATGTAATTTACTACAATTTAAAAAAATTGGTAATTAAAAATAGGGGATGGAGTGATAGCACAGCACATGCCTTGCATATGGTTAACCCAAGTTCAATCTCCAGCACCCAACAGGGTCCACTGAGCCCACTAAGAGTGATCCCTGAATGCAGACTCAGCAGTAAGCACTGGATACTGTTGGGAGGTGGGCTGGAGCACAGCGGTAGGGCGTTTGCCTTGCACACAGCCAGCCCGGTCGAGCCGGGTTTGATTCCTCCGTCCCTCTCGGAGAGCCCCGCAAGCTACCGAGAGTACATCACCCGCACGGCAAAGCCTGGCAAGCTACCCGTGACGTATTTGATATGCCAAATACAGTAACAACAAGTCTCAAAATGGAGACGTTACTGGCCCGCTCGAGTAAAATCGATGAACGGGAGGACAGTGTTGACAGTGTTGTTGAGTGTTGGGAGGGAAGGAGGGAAGGAGGGAAGGAGGGAGGAGGGAGGGAGGGAGAACTAGAATAGTTCTAGTGACAATAGATAAACTATACTAGGGGCTGGGGAGATGGCAGCAGGAAAGGGGCTTTCCTTGTACAAGGCCCAACTGGGTTTAATTCAACCCTGATCTAGGAGTTAGCCCTGAGCACCACTGGGTGTGGTCCCAAACCCAAATGGCCCTCCCGTTGATCGTCGATTTGCTCGAGTGGGCCCAGTAACGTCTCCATTGGAGACTTTGTTGTTACTGTGTCTGGCATATCGAATACTCTCGGTAGCTTGCCGGGCTCTCTGAGAGGGGCGGAGGAATCGAACTCGGGTCGGCCATGTTGGCCACTTGTAAGGCAAACGCCCTACCGCTGTGCTATCACTCCAGCCCAAATGAATAAACCAATATATTCACTATCTGAATAAACCTCCAAAGTATCATACTAAGTTAAAAAAAAAAACTCATGATGATGACATGGATCCGGCATTTCTAGGAAGGAGAGTACGTGGATCAGAATGTGGGTCGGGCGAGTGATGCTACAGGCAGGCAGCAGCTCTCAGGAGGGGACGGGATGATCGAATGCTGGAATGTGATGAGTCACTAGAAATCACGAAATGGACAACTTCGGGTCGGCGAAGTGCCACAGGGGGTGATGGCGCCACAGAGCTGTGTGAGCAGAGGCAAAACGAAGAGGACAGCATCTGCCATGGGGCCACATGCTGGCGCAGCTGGATTCTGAAGGGCCACTCGAATAGGCAGCTGCAGCTCAGAGCTCAGGAGAAGAACAACTTTCCCATCTGAACTCCGGAGGACTCAGTTTCAACCTTGAAAGAACAGCCTCCAAGCCCTTAGACAAGGAGGACCACACAATGCCACGGACGGAAAGCTTTATTTTAAGTGAAGGTGGCTTGCTCCCAAGCCAAGACTGGTCGTCAGTACAGATATGTTCCACTCCACAATCTGCACTGCTGGGCATCAAGAATTAGAAGTCATGGAAGAGTCACCATGACCTACCGCGTATAAGAAAAGTGATGCTACCTCTCAGGCCTCTGTATTTCTAATACGCAGACTGTGTGGCTAGAGAACCTGGGGAGAAGAATGACTGTACTTGCTCATTAAATCTTTAAACACACACACACACACACACACACACACACCACACACACAACTATGAACTGAAGAGTATTCTTGGATGTATGGGGGCCACACTAGAAGCATGAGCACTGCCAGGAGTGAACCCTGAGCTCAGAGCTAGGAGTAAACCCTGAGCACCACCAGGTGTGGCCCCAGACAAACAACAACAAAACAGAAACATTTGCCACATTGTAATACAGTCTGTAATAAGCAAACATAGTCTCCATCCTGGTCCTCACAGACTGGGGAGATACAGCCCCGGCACAAGGCGGAAGCGCTTGCCTGGAAACTCAGGGAAGGCCATCCTTAGCGCCACTTATGTCCCGAGTGCCATCAGGAGTAAGCCCTGAGTAAACACAAATCAAGTAAAAAAAGAAAAAGAAAAAAATGTGTTTCTATTGCTGGGTTTGTGCTCAAGGGACAGTGGTGTGGGGATGCAATCAGTGTGATACTGAAGCATGCCCAGATACGGAGTGAGGTTCTGGAGCTTATCCTGCCCAAGGACTCCTCTCACCTTGGAGGATGACAGGCCCTTTGGTTGTTTTGTTTGGTGGGGTGGCCCCACTCAGCAATGCTCGGGGATTACACCTGGCTCTTGCCCAGATATCCCTCCTGGAGGGACTCTGGGGACCATTTACGATGCCAGGATCAAACCCAGATCAGCCAGGTGAAAGGTAGGAGCCCTCGGGGCCGGAGTGATAGCACAGCGGGTAGGGCGTTTGCCTTGCACGCGGCTGACCCAGGTTCAATCCCCGGCATCCCATATGGTCCCCCAAGCACTTCCAGGAGTAATTTCTGAGTGCAAAGTCAGGAGTAACCCCTGAGCATTGCTGGGCGTGACCCAAAAAGCAAAAAAAAATAAAAAAGAATAAAATGCTAGCATTTTTTAAAAAAAAGAAAAGAAAAGAAAAGTAGGAGCCCTGCCCACTGTGCTATCTCTCTGGCCCCCTGTGAAAACCTTGAAGATCAAGCAGACACTGGAGAAGGCCAGTTGTGCGTTAGTCCTCCGAGGCTGTGAGCCCAAACAGCCTCTGAGCTCTGTCACAACCATGAACATCCCACCTTCCCAGTCAGTCCTACACATCAAGTTCCCATCCTGAGAAGCAGGAGGTTCAGGCAGGCTGAGGCCACCGTCTCCTCAGGTCACTAGCGCCTGAAGAAACTCTCTTCTCACATGGCCCTTGACTGTGGAGCAGCAGGTCTTCAACTGGAGTGGCGAGCACTAGAACTAGGGAGCCGGCACATGGCGAGTCAGTCACGGGCAGTATTCCAATGGCACCTCCCTCCTTTACAGCGCAACCATGCAAATGGTGCATGACCGATTTGGATGCCTCCATTGTCTCCATTTTTGGTGAGGCAGGGGAAGAGATCCTAGGGTGTCGCATAGGACAGGCAGGTCCTACACTACTGAGCCACACTCTCAACCCTAGTCCGACACTTTTTTTTTCAAACAGGACGTTTTGGGGCAAGAGAAGGAATAAGACACTTAAGGGTTTAAAGCACTTGCCTTGCAGGAGGCAGTCCCTATTTCATGCCTGGTATCGAGTCCCCAAGCACCTCTGGGAACAACCCTGAGCACAGGACCAGGAGTAGATCCCAAGAATCAAGAACTGCCAGGTGTGACCCAAACCACCGCCCCTAAATTTTTTTAAAGGACATTCTCTGTCCTGACCAAACGACTTCTATACACCCAAAATGATTGTCACAAGTGTAAAATGTTCTTGTCCGTTTCTGGTTTTTGTCTCCCGAGCAGTCCTCAGGGGTTCCAGCATGGGTCAGTAACAGGTTTCAGTGGCCCAACTACACCACACCCAAGGGTGCTGGTGACCCCCAAGGCCACCCTTGTTGTGCTAGTAGGACTATATATACCTGGATTCTTTCATCTAGAGCTTTCATCCTGGCCCCTAGATGCCTAAGGTTTTTGCGCGCGCGTGTGTGTGTGTGTGTGTGTGTGTGTGTCTGTGAGAGCCACACCTGGCAGGGCTCAAGGGACCACCGGGGTTCCTGCGACTGAACCCAGGTTGGCTTTGTGGAAGCAAGCACCTTACCCGCGGTACTACCTCTCCAGCGCTAGTGCTCTAAATTTTTAGTTACTGTTAACTGTGATGGCGTCTTTAAGAGGGGAAATAACTTCGAGTTGCCAAAGGCTGCCTCAAGGGAAAACGACAAGCTCTGTGCGTAACTTGTTGCTTTAAGCGCCTCCCAATTTTTCCCAGAGTCCTTTTTCTGTCTTAAAAGCCAAAGAAAAAAAAAAAAAAGAGAGTGACCTGCGGATTTGGGGGAACGTGTCATTTTTATTGCCGTCAATTCAGAACACACAAGACTGTTTTTCCTCGCGTGAACAAAAAAGGTCGGAGGCAACGTGAACGCTCCCCAAACCCCCTCGCGGCTCCGAGGTCGGGGGTGGGGGGCTGGGGGGGAGGGGAGCCGAGAGCCCTCCTCCGGGAGGCGCGGGTTCCCAGGGGCGGGGGCCCGCGTCCAACTCCGGGAGTGCTCGCGGGGGTCGCCCCGAGGCAAAGGCTCGCGGGGCGGGGGGCGGGGGGCGGGGTGGCTTCCTCCGCCGCGCCCCCCGCGCGCGCCCGCCGGGGGCAGCCGGGGTCGCCGCGCCGCTCCGAGTTCCGGTGGGCTTTCGGAGGCCGGGGCCGGGGGCCGGGGGCCGGGGGCCGGGGTCGCCGCGCGGCGGGGACGAAGCGGGGCGCGAGGGGCCGCGCTCCCCTTACCTTGATGGCTCGCTCCATGTCGCTCTCCCCCGACATGCTCCGCGGGGCCCCCGCTGCCGGCGGCGCCGGGGGCTGCGCCGCCGCCCGGTCCCGGCGCGGGCGGGCGGGCAGGGGGCTCGGGGCGCGGGCGCCCGCGTCCCGGGGGGGCGGGCCGCAGCCGGCCCCGGGCACCGGCGGGGACGGCGGGCCGCGCGCGGGCTCGGCCTCGGCGGGCGGCTCTAGGCGGGCGGCGGCGGAGGGCCCCGCGGGCGGGCCTTTGTGCTGGGCCCCGCGAGGCCGCCTCCCGGCCTCATCCCCGGCCGGAGACGCGGGCTCCCGGGGCAGCGCGAGTCGCGGCGCGCCGCGGCCGGGGGCGCCGTGCAGGGGCCGCGCGGGGCCACCGCCTAAGCCCGAGCTCGCCAGGTCCTGAGGAGGAGCCGGAGCCTGCGTCTCCGCCGCCGGCAGCGCCGCGAAGTCGAAGCCCAGCGAGTCGCCGCCGCCGCCGCTTCAGCGCCACACATCGCCGGGGCACCCGCGCCGGGCAGCCCGGCCGGCCGCCCGCCTCGCCGGCGCCGGGCTCCCGCGGAACTCCGCGCCGCCCTCCCGGCCGCCCGTGTCCGGGGGCCCGCGACCCCACGTGCCCGGCGCCGCGGCCCGCCGGAATTTCCGAACCGCCCCCGACCCGCGGGGTGAGTTGACAGGCGCCCGCCGGGCCTCCCCCAAGCCGCGCCGCGCGCGGGACAGGACCCCGGGCCTTCCGCGGCGCGGGCGCGGGACGATGACGTCAGGGGGCGGGGCCGGGGGCGTGCCCACTTCTTTCTCCTCTTCGGAACTGTCAGCGGACCCCTCCCCGCCCCCTCCTCCCGCCCTCTCTGCCGAGGGGTCCAGGGGGCGTCGACTCGTGATCGAGATGAAAGCTGACGCCCGAGCATTCGTGAAGGAGGAGAGGAGGCCGGAGCCGGGGAGTGGGAGGACCCGAGGTGTGCGGGAGCGGGGCTTGTGCAACCCTCTCCGGGCGGGCAGTGTTAATTTCGTGATGCTCCCGTCTCGGCTCTTCCTACAAGGTAAGCATTCGGGGCTGCGGGGTTACGTGCGTTCTTCTCCCCCCGCGGAACGCTTAGGGAACAGGCTCAGTGAGCCCAGCGCAGATGCGCAAAGCCGAGACGCGGCCGGGGCAGAACTGGAGCCGAGGTTGGTACCCGACTCCTCGCCACCTACCTGTGGTTCTTCATTCTCTCCGTTATTTTACTGAGCACCAGCTAACAGACGCCGGGGAGACAATCCGGATAAGACTTGGCCTTCGTTCGTGGAGCTTAACTTTGGGCCAAGCCGAAAACAAGTATTTGGAGAAACTAGTTTGTATACGTGGCTAAGAAGAGAGGGACAGAATAACTCGACCTGGGGACTTTTTCTGTTGGATGATGAGGAGAAACCAGGAGATGACATTAAAACTTCTGGGGCCAGAGCAATAGTACAGCAGGTAGGGCACTTGCCTACGTGCTGCTGACCCGGGTTCTATCCCTGGCACCCCATATGGGGGAGCATACGAGTGATTCCTAAATGCAGAGCCAGGAATAACCCGTGAGCACTGCTGAGTGTACCTCAAAATCAATCAATCAAACAAACAAAAAAACCATGAGCTTTCTGAGGACTGAGGAGGAGCTGTCCATTGGAAAGAAGCAATCGCCAGTAGCCAAGGAAGAGTCTGGGCAGATGGAAAATAAGTGTAAACACCTCCTGCGGCATTTGGACCATGTTCTGCATGCTGAGATAACACCTGGCTCTGCTCAAGGAACTGTGTGTCCAGGGATTGAACGACTGCCGCTTGGATTCCAAACTTGTTCTCAGCCTGTAGAGTGCAAAAGTCTTAAGCTGTAATCAAGTTAAGTGTGTTTTCAGGAGCCACCAGGTGATCATTGTATCTGAAACAGAATGAGTCCGTTTGCCACAGTGAGCCCGGGACTGCCTTACATACACCCAGAGGGGGCATGGTTAAGGCTTTGGATTTTATAGGGACTGAGAGTTGGCATAAGGGTTAAAGCACTTTTCTTGCATGCGGCCGAATTGGGTTTGATCCCTGGCACCGCATATGGCCCTCTTAGCACTGCCAGGAGTGATTTTTTTTAATTGAATCACCATGAGATATTTACAAGCTTTAATGTTTGGGTTTACTAGACAGGCGCTTTAACCAGCTAAGCCACGGCACCGGCGATAGCACAGCGGGTAGGGCGTTCGCCTTACAAGTGGCCAACATGGCCGACCCGAGTTCGATTCCTCCGCCCCTCTCGGAGAGCCCGGCAAGCTACCGAGAGTATTCGATATGCCAGACACAGTAACAACAAAGTCTCCAATGGAGACGTTACTGGGCCCGCTCGAGCAAATCGACGATCAACGGGAGGGCCTTTACCTTTACCTTTACCAATGTTTGGGTTACAATCACACAATGATCAAACACCCATCCCTCCGCCAGTACACATTCCCCACCACCAATATCCCCAGTATACGCCCCCCCTTTCCACCCTCCCCCTGCCTCCATGGCAGATAATATTCCCCATACTCTCTACTTTTGGGCATTGGTTTGCAATACAGACACTGAGAGGTTATCATATTTGGTCCTTTACCTACTTCCTGCACACACATCTCCCATCCCAACCGATTCCTCCAGCCATCATTTTCTTAGTGATCCCTTCTCTTTTCCAGCTGCCTTCTCCCCTTTGCTCATGAGGCAGGCTTCCAGCTATGGAGCAATCTACCTGTCCCATGTATCTACTATCCTTAGGTGTCAGCTTCATGTTATGTTGTTTTATATTCCACAAATGAGTGCAGTCCTTCTATGTCTGTCCCTCTCTTTCTGACTCATTTCACTTAGCATGATACTCTCCATGTCTATCCATTTATAAGCAAAGTTTATGACTTCATCTGCCAGGAGTGATTCTTGAGTGCAGAGCCAGGAGGAAGCCCTGAACACTGCCAGGAGTGGCCCCCAAAACAATAACAACAAAAAGGGTGGAGCACTATTATGAAAGTATTAGATAGCTGAGATGGGAGATGGCCGTGGTGCTTGGACTAGGAGGTGGCAGTGAATGCAAGACTTATTGAGAGTGAGGACTGCGAGTCCCAAGTTCTTTCTGTCTAGCTTGAGTTGAAGTTCCTGTGCAGTGCACTGGAGAAGTGATTGGAAATTATGGTGATCACTCAGTTGCCCGCCAAAACTTTTTTTCTCCCTATTGCCGGCTTCCCTGCAGCAGCTATCTCAGTCCTTGTGTAGGGGTCACTGCACTAATGCTCCCTCCCGCAGGAAGTGAGAAGAGAGGTTCATAACTGCCCCGGAAATCTGTCAGCTGATGCTCCTTGTGCTCTGCTGTTCTCCCAGCCTGGCGATAACCAGGTTCTAGAGAAAGCAAAGTTTCAAGATGGAAGATATCTGTGTTGAGAACTCTGGCCCACTGGTCTAACCATTCACCTCGGACTGTCAGGTGAGAAAAAATGAATAATAAAATGAACTGCTATTGTGTTGAACTTTTTTGTGTTGAGTCTTTTTGTTGTGACAGTTCTGCCTGATTCAAGGAAGGATGGTGACTCTACATGAACTTCGGGAGGAAGTTCAGAAATGACTGGAACTAGCATTCTTCATAAGGGTTTGGCAATAGAAGATGCTTCAGATTCATTCATCATTTTTCATTTCATTTTCATTTCATCATCCTGTTATTCGTCGATTGCCTCGAGCAGGCCCCAGTAACGTCTCTTTCATCCTAGCCCTGAGATTATATTCACGGCTCTTTAGGAGAATGAGACCCATCATTGTTACTGGTATTTGGCATATTTGGTACGCCACGGGGAGTTTGCCAGACTCTGCCCTGTGGGCAGGCTACATTCAATAGCCTGCAAGTTTGTCCAAAGTAGGAATGAGACAATAAGATGTCATAAAAAAAAAGTTCTGATAAGATGTCAGCTTATCTTATTCAGGTTCCGGGATCTGGATTTTATAGTCTCTGAGTCTTGGCCGCTGATGGGATTACACGGCGCCAGGGGGCCAGGTGGTGGGTGTGACCCCCGCCTACTGGAATTTGGAGGATCTGGGTGGAAGATGCTCGACTCCAATCCGAGTAGGCTTGGAGGTCTCGGCCCCGGAACCTGCGTGGCTTTGTCCCTCTGCCAGTACCTTCATGTGTGCGGAGAGTGGTCTCAGCATGGTGGTGGCTGATCCTGGAGGTCTTCGGCTGCCGGAGCCCTGGTCGGGGCGGGGAGGAAAGCTCAACCCGCTTGCCTCCAAGGGGCCCCGGGAAGGAACACCCAGGCGCGGGGGCAGAAGACTGCACTGTTCTCGTCCGGGATCTGGATTTTATAGTCTCTGAGTCTTGGCCCCTTGGAGGGGAGCGGGTTGAGCTTTCCTCCCCGCCCCGACCAGGGCTCCGGCAGCCGAAGACCTCCAGGACCAGCCACCACCATGCTGAGACCACTCTCCACATACATGAAGGTACTGGCAGAGGGACAAAGCCACGCGGGTTCCGGGGCCGAGACCTCCAAGCCTACTCTGATTGGAGTCGAGCATCTTCCACCCAGATCCTCCAAATTCCAGTAGGCGGGGGTCACACCCACCACCTGGCCCCCTGGCGCCGTGTAATCCCATCAGCGGCCAAGACTCATTCATCATTAATTCAATGCAAATTGATATAAAGGGTCTCTCTGTCCCTTTGGTCCATAATAGAGATGCAGAGATAAAGAAGAGATAAGGTCGATCTCTTCAAATACTCTGAGTCTGGATGTTCAGTTTTGCCCTGAGTACCACCAGGAGTTAGCTTTGAGCACCACTGGGTGGAGCAAAAAAAAAAAGTTGACTAATTTACCCAGAAATATTACTTTTTGAGCCATGGGCTGGGCCATTCAGTTGGTTAGGTGGCAGCTAATCTTAGGACTGTGGAAAGCCCTGCTTCGTGGGGTCCCCACGAAGTAAGTTATCTAACTTACAAGAAGTGAGGAGGAGTGAGGCAGCCTCGAGAAGGGAACCTGCCCCTTCTCTGCCTACCTCTGCCACCCCGGGAACGGCTGGGAAATCTCGGACTGGGAAGGTCTGATGTGACCTTGCTCCTTGCAGGAACGGAAGGTCAGTTCTTGAGCTTACCCAGGCCTTTCGGGCCCTTGACCTTT